TCGCCAGTCGTCGTTTTACGTTTGCGTAGAACAGCCAAGACGCGGTGATATTTCGAGGAGTGTGATTTCGATTTCGATTTTCACTGTAGGTTCACGAAACCCAAAAGTTCGTTTCCGCAGAGATTGTTATAGAACATTGCGAGCAATACCTATCGTTGCGATTATTTAGACGTAGTACGCTATTGATTGTTCAACAATATAATAGAAATAGGATAAAAAACGGAGGAATTTGCTGCGAAAAATGGTTTCCAGATCACAAAAGCTTTCTCCAATACTTCGAGGTCTCAGTGTCGACGAACGAAACAACAGAACAGTGCAGAGTCGGATTAAACACGACGTATCTACACAAATGTAAACGACGGTTTTCAGGAAGCGGAATTGAAGTAATAATAGTAATAATAACAACAACAACAACAACGATTCGTATCCACGCCTCTGCTACGTGTTCGGATCACGGTTTAGATTACTATAACGCATTTCCTAACGCTGCGACCTTTTTCACCTCAGACCTTGTCTCCTTGATCTCCGATAAATCCATAACGATAAATAATTACAAATAATAATCAACGTTATATAATATTTTAGGTTAGAACTGTTACTGTAACATGTCCTATTCGTATAACGTGCGCACCAAGATTTGTATACATTTGTGAATTTTATGCGCCTTAACATAATTTTACTTTATCGTTATGTTGATGATATGGAATTGGTACGCGCGCGCGTGATAAGCAGTAGCGTATTTTTAAACCTTTTTTTTTTAGTTATTTATAAACTAAAACCAAGGTCATGGTTCTCCGCAATAACACGATATCGACTCGCATCGCATAATAAGTTCAAATATAATTTATTTACTCTGGCCCGGCTTAAATGTTTACTCACACCTAGGTAAACTTAAGTTTTTGCTACAGCCTTACACATAAATAGTACATTAAATTTTTTTTTTTTACTTAAGCAATACTAAAATATATTTAACTCTGAGTTCATTATATTTATTAAAATATTACTGTATTGATCTAATCAATACATTTGTAGACAAATAAACCACTACTGGTTTAAATAAAACAAAACAATTTATAGTCATTTTTTACACATAATTTGATACGAGTAGGTACTAGAAATTGTAATCTTTTTTTAAAAATTATCTGCAGTATAAAAATGATTAATGCCACCCTAGGCTAGGGCCTATGTCGCCTAACCCTCGAGCCGGGTCTGTATATACCCATTTTGAACAAATTGGAATCACTTCCGAAATACTATAATTTCTCTTTGTTCAAGTCTTTCATTGCGTCGGTAAGACTATCAATTATGGACGAGAAACTTTTGATAAATTAACTATTTATTTGATTCGTTGTTCAACGAGTGAAATTGACAAACATTTTTTATAGAAGAGTCAAATCAAATAAGAAAAATAGTACAATTTCAATAATTCCATAACTTAACAATAGCAAATCTTCAAACTTAATATTTGTAACCTATTCAATCCATATTTATGAAAATACTTATAATAATTCGATAAAGATTTATAAATTGTATGGTTAATTAATTCCTCTAAGCCAATCAGCTCTGTTATCGCATGTAAATAGCTGTTAGTCACCTAGTTTCAATAATTTTAACAAAAATTACTGCAATAATTGCACGTTGTTGGTTGTATTACTCATAGAAAATTATACGAGTTATACCTGTTAACTTGTTACCTGTATTTAAATATAGGTACCTAGTAGGTATAACGAACTGTTTGCTTACAATCAAATCAAAAACCAACATGTTATAATAATTATTATAGTGTTATAATAATGTTAAAAATGACACTGGGAATAGAAATAATGAATATATTATACAATTTTATGTTTAAAAATAATTTAATAATTCAATAAGAATTTTAATGACAGAAGTACACCATCGAATAATTTTTTCGTTACTATCATGCTGGTTTGTGATGGTTTGACGATGAAATTGCTCACGCGTGGATACAAGGGGAAGGCCAGGGAGCAATGGCGCAATAAATAGCGAAATATTTCCGCATGATTTAAGGCTTAAAAAGTCTTTCCTCATTACGAAGCTGCTATATGCTACGATTTTAAACTATTTTTTTATTTTTGAAACACCCACTTCATAGCCAGGAAAATTATGATTCAAAATTTTTTATTTTTGGATATTTTCGGAATGGATTTTAAATCTTTACGATTTTTTTCCGTTCATCAAAAGTGAAATGTAATCGCATGTTCCAGGACAACAACAAAAAAAAAAAAAAAAAAAGAGTGCTGAAAATGATTATAATAGCTACTATATATAATACTTATATAATATATAAATTATAATATTATTTTATTTAACTTTATCATCAACAGGGTAAAATCAAAACTTACATAAGAAAAACATTAAACTATTTTTATAACATATTTCCATATCAAAGATATAATTTTCTTTAAAAATTATATTGATTTTCGGTAAACTTTCGTATTTATAGTTCTATAATTTCTAATTACCACGTTTTAGGCAATTCACGTTAACATCGTAATCACATTCTTAGAGACATAGACTTTAATATTGAAAAAGTGATTTATCGTTTCTTTAAGAGTAAAACTAGCATTTGCAATTTAAAAACTCTTAGATATAATAAAATAACATAAAATTGTACATATGATTGGAATTTATCATTAATTATTAACTGTAGAAAAATTAAGTTATATACTAATGTACGAAAATCTATGTAATTAAATATTTCATAAGCAATAAAATAAAATCTTGAGTTGCCTAAATATTTTTGTTTATTTATTACAACAAAAATGTAAGCATACTATTTATTTAATTTTATTGTAGAAACTGAAATATAATGAAAAATAACAATGATTTAGGGCACCAGTACTATGTAATATTTAATTGAAGAAATATTTTAGTTGGAAAATATCAAGCCCGTTTGTTTTTCAGTCAATATAACTTGGAAGTTCACGAGATTACGACTACGCCTACGGGGCTCAAAAGTCGAATTCGTCAGTTATGTTTTGGAAATCAATTATTAACACTAAATCTAATTCGATGACATGAAAATAATTTTCCAGTTAAACCACTTATTTACAGATTTATATTTTAAAGTTGTCAATAAATAATGAAAAATTATATTTTTCAATTCTTATAAAAATATTCCTACTAATTGTTATTTTTACAAGTTTTTAGTTTTTTTAAGGCAGACTCAGTTTCATAATCCCCTCTAACGAGCTGTCACTGGAAATAATAAGTTAATTTATTTTTAACTGACTGAAACAATTATTTTGTGGTGATAATATTACATATTGTGAGGAATAAACCAGATAGGTGAATAAATTTAAAAACAAATGTTTTATTTACCTATATAAAAAAACATAATTGTTCAAATAATAGATAACGGATAAAAACTAAAATTTCCTTAAACCATTTATATTATTTAATAAAAATACAATAAAATTGTTATATCTGTTTTCGACCTTAACGTAGTAAAAAAATTCTCAAGTTTCGTTGTTTTTTTAAGATCTTTCGTTTTTTCTTCTCGCTCTTCTTACAATTGTTTATATTTTGCACCACTTTATCGACATCTTTCATAACTCATTTTATAGGTAGTGGTATTAACACCGAAATTAAATAGTTGATAAATGCTAATATAAACAACAATAAAATACTCGTTGATTATGCTATTATGGCAATCAAGATGAATAAATAAAATATCAATATTTTATCTCGTTGGCCACGGCAATCAACGTGTTAAATGATAAGTCATAAAAGACACACATTTTCCTATTTTTTTTTCAATTGTGGAAAATTTGTCGCCCCAATCACTTGCTTGTTTTGTTAGAAGGTAAACCTGACGCTGCAATTTACACTCGAAAATAATACGAACAAAAATATAAATGCGTCGGTTCGAGCACAATATGGTAGTCTTACTTATCATATTCTGAACGCTTATTCATCTAATAAAACTCTGCGGCGAGTGATATAATTACTATTTGTTATAAACATTTTTTAATGATTAATAATTCTTCTTAAAAATTTTAATACATTAGAAAATTTTCGTTTTCACCGTTAAGAAATTGCCGCCGGGAGAAATTTCCCCATTGCCCCCCCCCCCCTTAATTTGGTACTATGCATATAATTATTATAAACAAGACGAATCGAGCATTTTTTTCTGAATTCTATAGTAAAGTTGTTAACTCCCAGTACTTTTCACCTTTTTCATTTATCACGTAAATAGAATATCATTAAAACATAAACCAACACAATGGGATTCTAAGGAGATCTCTTGATGATTTAACACTTTCTCCATCGCAAAACTGACAACAATTAATATAATAATAATATACTCGTAAAACTATGTACAAATGTTTTGAACTAATTTCATTAATTTTACGCTAAATAATAATTACTATAGAATAATATAATCTTACCTTAGTCTTATTTTAATTTCACCTTAATTTTTTTTAATATTTTCTTATGTGTTAATTTAATTTAAAATGCTAAACATGATGATCTATAGCTTATTTTTACTGTATATATTAATATTATCGATTGTCTTATGAGTACACACGAGTATGACTGCACCGAATTTCAATTGTCATTATGTAATGTACTTCACATGTCTCAAGAAAAATATTGCAACCCATTATAACTTGTGATAATGTACGTGGTTAAATATAGTTATTGCGTACCGCTGAGTCGCATATCTAACGCACTTATACATGCATGTTTACAATTGAAATAACAAAGTTTTATACAAATACATGTAATTATGTATCAGTACGACTCGGAGTAGTTGGCGAACAAATACGAATACAAGGTTCGTTTTTTCTTTAGTTCATGTACTACGCGTTTACTATTTTCTCGCGACAGAACTTTCAACTCGAATCTCGTTTGATCTTGTTGTCGGCCGACATCTGTACGCAGTCGCGCCGCGATCGACCTGTACAGTCGCGTGCGTATAAAACAACATGTGTGGGCACTCGTTGTATGCAATGAAATAAAATAACAATACATACAGAACACGATTGATATTGATAAATATAATAGTAATAATAATAATAATATCATTAATTTTATAATAATCGATGGTATCGAGTGATAGTGGTGTGCAGTCGAGTTGTTTACAGATCATCCGGCTGCGGTGGTTCCGGCTTCTTGTGGTGGTTTTGCAACCGCTCGTCGCCATAAAAGTGCCGGTGCAGCATGTCAGCAAGGGACGTGTGTCCGGCCGCCCTGGCAACGTCTATCGGGGTGGCTCCCATAAGATCAATCGGCGGCGTAATCTCGGCGAGTCCAAGCGTGCTAACGGTCGTTTGCAGCGATAGCAAGTATTCGGCCACGTCCAATTGGTTGGTAAGCGCAGCCTATATGATGATGATGATGATAATAATAATAATAATAATAATGTATTGTAATAAATTGCATTTGAGACGCAATAACTGAAACCTGACGGGAAACGGATAAGTCCTAATGTGTGGACGATTTAAAATACGTCATTCGAAGGAACCTACGATTAGTTTCGATTTATTTTCATCTTTACCATCGTTCAAAGGTCTTGTACCTACGTGAATTATTTTTCCATGTGATTACCATTACGTTTTACACCAGAAAAAGAATTTCGTAGGCATTCCAACAGAAAATGTGACTTTCCACACGAAGCATAACAGATAAACGTTTACATATGTTAGTTTCTACATGAAAAAGAATATACCGGTACGTAAGTTCCTACACAAACCAAAATATATGTTTCATAGTTGAAATATCAGAAAACAATAATATAAACGAACATTACTATTATTTAGTGAAAAATTACATGAAGGAAAATAATACTTCCACCAGTATTTGGACTAGTGTTATTTCTAGTACAAGTATTAAGAACATTTTCTCTCCAAATTCAACTCAAATTGTCATTTTCAACCTAATATATTTGAAATAATAGAATTTTTAAAAATATTTCAAACAAATACATACATTAAAATAAGTACATCGTATATCAATAGACCTCAAAAAATAAATTAAATAAACAAAATTTTATAAAAAAATATTAGAATACAACTTAAAACAAATAAATCCTAAGTTTAAATAAAGTGGAAAGGAAACTTGTATTCTTTATAATTTTTATTCGTGTAGAAACGTAGACGTAATCAAACGTGATTTTTGAAATTTTTTTAGAATTAACAAAGTTAGTGAAAAGAAAAATAATGTTTTTTACGTTGGTACGCGATTCGTGTAGTCATTAAACTTTGTCGAGACGCAATTCACGTGCAGCGAAAACAGTCACAATCGGTAGGTAGTTATAATGATATATAAATAAAAAAAGAAAAATAAATAAATTCACTACGTACTGCGTGCAATGGTGTTCTGCCATACATGTCCTTGGCTGTAGTCGGATCAGCCCCAGCAGATGCATACGATTTAAGACGAAGCACGTTTCCTTTAGCTGCGGAACTATTCCAGAAACAAAATAATTAATTGATTACTTGCTAATAATTGCAATTAGATAAATAATAACTTCTATCGGTCATGAAATCGTCAGAGCATTATTAATTTGATACATATTGGTCCATACGATTGTGAATAATTAATTCACCAGACTAATAAAGATAACTAATATTCGGACAATCGGTACCAAAATTATGTTATAAACAGCTACAGTTTGGTTATAAAAATTTAATAAATTCGTACTTTTAAGTTGATCCGGATCAATAATATAATAATTTTCCAATTACATTTTCCGTTGAAAAATTAATAAGCATTATTTCCGTAATATGATTGTTATACTACAGTAGTTTTTATTTAAAAATTTAGTCTTAACTACGGGTTCGTGGTATAAATTTATTAAATTCTAGATCAGTTCAGCCTTGGCTTAAATAAATCGTCATGGAAATCATTATACTCACTTGCACAATTGCTGAGCTACGTGTTTAGCGGGTGAGTTTAGATGGGCACCACACCTTCGCAACAATGCCACCACGTCCTTTCGATCATTTTCTACAGCCTCAATCAGCGGCGTTCTGTCAAAGCTAGAAAATTGCACGTGTAAAATATAGAAGAATACTTACATCATACATATATACATAAAAACATTATAAAGACATGTCTAGGGGACTCGGGAAGCTCTAAATTTACTTTTTTATTTTCTAAAAGCTCACAAAAACGTTTTATATGTTTACCCACCACATTTTTTTTCAGCGTATAAAACAAATTTATCTATAAGAACATATAAGTAAACATATGTTTCCGATATATTACCATCAATCCTTCATTATTTTAATGGTTTATGAAAAATATCGATAATATTAATAATTTTGCTGAAATAGTGTTGTAAAAAAAGTTTTTTTATTAATAGTCGTACGGTATTTTCTTCAAAATTATTATTATTTTTTTTTTACTCATAAACAATTTAGTTTTAGAACTCTAGCCCCAGCCTCTAGTTTTGTCAATGGGTATGTACTATTTAATATAGTGTGGCAAGTGACAGTAGGTAGTGCATTCGAATAGTATCTAGAATTATTGTTTATTTTTATATATTTACCGGTCTTTAATGTGTACGCTGGCGCCGTTCAACAATAGATATCGGACAATACGAACATCGCCCAGAGCACACGCGAGGTGTAGAGCTGTGCGGCCGTCGGCGTTTTGTGCGGAAAAATCAGCACCCTTAAAACATAACAGGCTATATGAATACATGTTGTGTAATGTTATATTATTGTAGTGACGCGTTATATTCATTGTTTAATAAATATATGTATAGATATATATAATTTCGCAATAAAACATAAAAGAATGATGTAATAAATGACATTTGTTTTATACTAGTACAAGAAGCGGGGTTTCTCAACCAGTGGTCCGTGTACCCGTAGATGGGAATTCAAGGTACCATTAAACGGTCTGAGTAATTTATTAAAAGAAAATAATATATTTTTTCAAATTACTATTTAGTCACAATCTGTAATTTATAATTGTTACATAAAGATAGTTACATTCTTTCAAATTGCCGTAAAAATATTGAACAACTAAAACCAATGGTTTTTTTCTTTTTTTTTTTTTTCATTTATGATGATATACTAAATATTTTAAAAAGATTTATGACTCAGAAAAAGTTAAAAATCACTGACACATTGATCATGGACAAAAATAAACATTTTTATCAATACTGAAAACTGTGAAATATATGATATAACGAGAAAAAATATATAAATTAATAAGGAACTTTTAGTTCATATTTTAACCAAATAACTTTTTTATTGGTATAAGTAGTAAAATAACCATTTAAAAAAAATCTATACAAGTAATTTTGACTGTACGTGACAATATAGTATATTATATATATTACGATGAATATAACTAAAGCAGTCATGGAAATCGATTCATTAAGTATAGTTTATACATACGAAGCCTTTGAGCTCATCCAGTTTATTCAAGTCCGACCGAACAACGGCATTGCCCAACATAGCAGGGAAGAGTATACCCCCGAGAGCTGTTAACTCTTGTGAACCGTTGACATGCAGTAAAGTACGGGCTACGGCGTCTACCAGATCCCATTCGTCCGCAGCACGGTTCTTCCGAGGTGGCTTTGGTGGTCCACTGCTCATTTCGCCCCTCAAGTTTGCACCAAGCATCTATACATATGACACACACACGTTTATGGTATAATTCAACAAACGAATTATTGTATAATACATATAGACAGTGCTGTTTGCGCATATTCTTACCATCCTCTTGGTGCTGAGGTCCCAGTCGTCCTTGGACAATACGTATGAGAGCTTAGCTAGGGCCGCCTCGGGTGTGATATCGTTGCCCGAAATGACACCGACTTGGCTTAGCACCTGTTTGTGTATACGCACAAAAATTATTTTATAACTGTAATAAACATATCGGCATAATAATATATAATGTGGTAATCAGAGCCATCGACGGAGTTTTTCTAGTATTAAATACACCTAGTCGAAAGTTATGTTGAAATTTTATAGCGAAAATACATCGTAATATTTAATCAATAATATAGACGTGTTCGTAAAAAAATCTAGATTAACTTCGATATAGAAATATGAAACGGAAACACAAGTCCGTTCGATCATTCGGAAACCCTGTTTTCCATTGGTAAAGTTATGATATCATATAATATATTATATGGGCGTGCACTTACGTGACCCGTCTGGTACACGGCCGTCACCGAACCCTTGAAGCACTGGCTGCAGTTGAAAACGATGACTCCTCGGTCCGTGGCCGCCTTCAGCTCGGCCATGATGTCAGACCGGTTGCCCGGTAAGTTGCCGGCCCCGTAAGTCTGGAGCACCACTCCACGTATGGGCGGTTGCAAGAATGTCCGAACCTATAACCACATACATACGCATGAACAATGGGATCCCCGCGAATTACATAATATTTATCAATCGTTGGAACGAAATAAAATTAATACTGTACCGTGTCGGCGGTTATGTTCGGGAAAATGCGCAGCAAGCTGACGTTCTCGTCGAGTTGCAAGTGAACCGTGAACTTTTCAATCGACCTCGGACGGAAGATTTGTCTGAACGATACTGTATGCAATGACAACGCAGTAGACACAAGGATTGCAGGTGACGATGACATGAAACACCGGATATAGGATTACAATTATTTACGCGCTTTAAATGTAAGTCAAAAGACGTAAAATTATTTAAATGGTGATGGTGTCAATTGGGTAGTTAACGGCTACCAGTGACAATGTCATTCATAAAATAATTTTATTTATATTTTATAATGAAAAAAAGAAAGAAAAAAAAGAATTAATATTAAAGAAAAATGTCTAGCGAACATGCGACGTTTTAGAAATGTGTGCAGGCAATGTTATTATTTATAATTTATAGGATATTTTTAACACGTAACATTGAACACATCAGATGAAATAGTTTTAAACACTTTTTGTTCTAAATCATGATTTAGTTATAACCACGTATTTGTGTGTTATTCATGAGGCAAGAGGAAACAAAAGCAGTAAGAGTGATTATTCAAATTAACGTTGAAGGGAAAATAGGAAGAGCAAGACCAAGATAGAGATGGTTTGATACGATTGATACGAAAGCTAATGTTGGTGTGTGCGTAGGGAATGTAGAAAACCGAGACGAAGGAGGCTTAGGACAAAAGTGACCGACGACCACAAATAGTTTGGAGAGAGGCGAGGGAGAAGAAAAGAAGAAGAGTTACGACCGCGCGTTGCTACTTCGGTTGCTATATATTTCTCAGGTACATTAATCGTGTACGTACCGTTGATGTCGATACCGACGACTGCTAGTGGTGGCATGTTAGGCGAGTCGAATGCCGCGAAGCTCTCGCAGTCGACTTTGACGGTACGGTTGCCGCGCAACAGCTTGTTATGGAACAGAATCGTCACCTCGGGGATGCAGTAGTTGCCGGCCATCAGCAGACTGGTGACGAAATTGTCACTGCCGTCGCTTCGCAAATCGAACACGGGCAACTGGAAGAATGCGGCGATTATCACGATGAACATCACACGTCCGCCGCCGTATCGTGCGCGTTCGGTCAAAGGCGAACGCGGAGTGGTTGACGGGACGAACATGTTACCAACAGTACTACTAATAGATAGATACCAACAGGTAACCAACAGGTACCAGTACGTGTTTCATACCTGTGCTCCCGTGATGATGACCGTCTTGCCAAGGTTCTCGAACATGAACGATAAGGCGGACGCGGTGTATGCCAACGTGTCAGTCCCGTGCAGCACGACGAAGCCATCGTACAGTTCGTATGCTTGCTGTAAAACGACAAAGCAACTGCAGTAAAGATGGGTCGGTTCGTGCGTATCTCGCGGACCGGTATGACACGTGTGATCGTGTCAAACGTAAGTCATCGTGGAACATATTTTACGTTTACCGGTCCACATATGGAAAACAAACAAAGCGTTCGATTTGGTTTGTAAACGCCAAGCGTATAAGAAAAACGACTCGATGCGTTCCTTAAGTCACTGTTGAACGGTTTGTGTAATAAAATGCGTGAACGTCGAATGCAATCCGAGGAAATAAAAAGTAAAATTAGTAAATAGTAAAAAATACTCGTAAAATCCGCAACGGTAGAATAAAACTCGAACATTGGAACTCAAACCAAAAAACGGGGATCTGCGCAATTTGCACACCAATACGATTACGGCTAAATACCTACGTTGGAATCGAGGTCATATTTAACATTAGGCAAGATAAGAAACTGCCTATGATCTCTGTTATTAGGATTTTTATGAACCTTTTTTGTTTTTAGAATAAGACTTTTATCGTATAAAATGATTATAAGCAAAATATAACATTAAAAAGCAAAAAAATCATCGGGAAATGACACATTTTTTTGGGGCGGCCTCAAAATGCCTAAATCAGGTCTCCTGATTGGAATCATTATAATATTGTAACACGTACCCAAATGTCCTCTGCTATGCTTCGCCAGTCACGCATACACATGTTGCTCGAGTCCAACAGCTCCGGGTACTGGTACACCGAATAGACGATTCGCCGGAATCCCTTGACATAGCTGTAACAAGATGCACGAAAAATCGTTACAATCAGCACTCGATGATGTTAAAACTCATGGACAACACACTGCTCGTGTAATACTAACGGCAACACTAGCGGGCTGCAGTTCATGGATTGCCCGTACTTATTCTGGGCGTACACAGCGTCGTAGAGCCGGGGATCGCGACGCATTTTGTGCTCCATCAAGAAGTCCGTTACGTTGCCGTTGCTGGACGTGGGCACAAGCACTGCATTAGGAAAAAAAAATAAATAAAAAATAAAAATCGATTGGTAATAATATAAGAGCCCCCCCTGGAAAATCCAAAAAAACATACAGATGTCATTTTATAAAAATGCACTACGACGTTCTGAACGACGTTGAATTCGGAAGCTGATGATGTACTTAACCATAAAGGGACAATATGATAATAGTCGCGTTTTATAAACACATACTTCGTATGAAAACAATTTTTATATTTTCTACTGTTGGAGTAAAAACAATTATTCGGTAAGCAGGTAAAAGGAACAATACCGGTTGTCTTTGAGTTCATCCGTGGGATTTTATAAATCCGGACCGATTCGGTGAAGACCTGGTTCGTATGCATATACGGAAATTAAACGGCATTCATAAAACTGCACGTAGGTGGAAATGAAAACACGTAAGTATTATTAATTTTTTTTTTTTGTTTCACACATTTTAAATAACTATTTAGAATATATTGATTAAAAATATACAAGTTTATTTCGCCAAATGTTATATCGAGTTGATGTTTAATGTAATGTTTTTCAAAACGTAGATACATTCGGAATTAACATTTATACACGTTTTGATAGGTATAAATGAATCTAGTCTTATTAGTTCAAATTACTCGGAACAAGTAGCGTTATATGGTTTTGGAATATCGATTATGTCGACAGCGTGATGAGTTCGATATTTAATCGACGACTGTAACTCATATTTAACAAGTCTATAACATTAGCGAGACCTTTATTGACGGAAAAAATTTTAAACTTAGAGAATAAAACGTACATAAGCGTTTTTTTGACGAAATCTTTTAAGATGTTCACAAGACAAAATGTGTAAGGTTTATGGTGTACGTCAATACGTTTCACTGCATACAATGTCACAGTATAATGATAATCTTTATAATTAAATATAATTAATTATAAACTTTATAATTGGGTAATATAGGTCCAGATTTTAAAAAAAATACTTCGTGTCTGAATGTCATGAATTAACATTTTAATTTATCCAATTTTATTCTACGTAGGTACTTACAATTGCATTTTTTTTTTTTTTTTGCTCATGAAGTCCGACCTGGGTCATGAAAATATACAGTCGCCGATATGAACTGCGAATCGAGATGAAAGGTTGAAGACCACTGGTCACCTAGTAATCGATGCGTACTTCAGTCAGATAGATAAACAATAAATATTTAATTGTATCTATTATTTATATTTTATTTTATTGAATAATTATCGCTACGACTATTGTTATGAATCGGTCATTGAGTGTCTTATAATACCAATTAAAAAGAATATTGTGATGACAATAAATATATATACTTATGTATATCTAATAAGATTTTTTTCCACTCAACCATGTTGACAAATATTTGTTTTCTTATACCAGTATACGAGAAAAAACCATGATTTTTTATCAACTCTGATTATCCATGTAATTATAAAACTCAGTTAATACGAAAAAAACGTTTAAATAATTTTATTGTTGGAAACCAGTCTTCATCGAACTGAATGCAAATTATTTATTAAACGTATCCGCTATCTATCTCAACAATAGGATGGCGTATTTGTGTACTATAAAATATCAACGATTAATGTTAAACTATAACGTATTGTGTTTAGCATAAATGTATACAGTGGCGGACCAAGGGTAGTGCTTGGGGATGCTAAGCACCCTCTAAATTGATTTTAACAACCCTTCAATTAATTTCTTCAGAAATAGATAAGAATTAATTAATAGATACATTTTCTAAAAAAAAAAAAAAAATAGAAAAATCAATTTGTAAAATAAATGCATTATGAACGTAATCAAGAAAATATCAAATGACAAAAAAACTATAACGTAATATGTACTTTAAGAAAGTATTTTTGAATATTTATTTATTTGCTTCGATAATGTTTTAAAGGAGCTAAGGACCCCCTAGTTTTTTAATCTGGATCAGCCACTGAACGTATATTGTAACGACATAATAGTCCGCGAGGGTCGCCGATTCGTAGTGTACAGCGTGTCGCTGTAACAGATGTATGTACGCACGGGGTGCCTACGGGCTACGTTGTCGCGGTGAAAAAGGCAACTTTCGTTCCAAACGACGTTGCAATTACTGTTGATTTCGCCGTCGAAAACGGATGCGCTTGAACACTCACCGCGGTCAATGAATGGTTATAATTAGCGGGACAGTAACGCGTTTCGCAACACAACAGTTGAGTAATAATCGCACAACGAAAGCATACACGCGCATGTTGGACAAACGAGTAACGATTACGATTCGAACGCGAACCCGAGCACGTGTTCGCACCGTGCGTATCGGCTGCGTTACGGTCTCGTTGGTACGTGTTCAAGGCCCTATGACGGCGGAAGACGATAAAGGAAATACTGTTAGCAGGCACCCGGCGATGGACATCAGTGACGGATTAAACATTTGTGGGCCCCAAGGCAATTAAAATGTTGGGCCCTACAAATATATTTTTTACATACATCTTTAACATTACTATCCAATAATCTAAATAAACAGTTTTAATAATATCCAACTATTATTATTAAATAAAATAAAATATAGTTATCCGTTTTCACAGGGCCCCTTAAATGAGTGAAGCCCTAAGGCCTAATCCGGCACTGATGGATAGCGTACGAAACTTTTGTGCTTTTCGTGCGCACACGAGAGAACCGCGTTACAACGAACGAACATGGCGGACAGTTTCCCGTGCACAACGGTCGTGCAACCGAATTGTTATGGTTGCCGAGAAATATTAAAAAAAAAATAATAATAATAATAATAATTATAAACGACAACGACGACGATGGTGCGAACGCATGAGGTACGCGTGAGTTCACGATCTGCACACGCGATTGTCCGCCCACAATTGTCTACGCGATTACTATCTACGCACATCTAATCTACTCGTTGGTTACTGATTACCGGTGATCGTCGAATGCGAAGCGTGCGGGATCAATCGAGTCGTGCTGAACGTACAGAAATCGGTAATTTTCGTTACTCGTAAGTAATTGAAACGCGATCAAGATTACGTAGCGTTCCGTTTCCAATATGTAATATGCATCACGTTGTGTTGTAACGTAATAAAAACCCAATCATTCCATCGCTCCGGACTGCTAAGCGCTAATCGATCTCCTCGGTCCTCTGCGAACTACGGGGTTTACCAATTCGTTTTTATACGAAAATTACGCGTACATCACGTTTCCCGAGAATATAGTGAATATAAATCTTATCATTTCCGAAATAACTCCATTTCGTTGTCCACATATTTTTTCCATTAAACCGTCTGAAATCGATTAAATCTCTTTTGCCCAATTTCCCTATAGTGCAGAGGTGGCCAAACTTTTTTCGGCCACGATCTACTGAAAATATACTTCACCTTTGAAGATCGACTTTCTTAGAAATTTCTTTTATAAACCTGAATAAAAGATAAAAACTTTACAGGTAAGATTTATCGACAATTTGTTCATGACCACCACGATTATTTTTGTGCACGTGGCCTAAAAATAAATTCTAACATGATCGACTCTGAAATCGTCCGCGATCCACCGTTTGGCCGCCCCTGCTATAGTGTATGGTTCCATCTGAGTACAATATCATAATGACAATAGTAAAACAGGTTTGACCGTTAAAACGAAATGAAACCGGTTATTGAATGCCGGAATTTCGGATCGTCTGGTGATAACCAGTGGCGCCGAAGTCCATACATGAAGGTCATCATAAATATAAATTTTTATTTTGGAGATGTATACTCCGTGGCCGGGACACTAAAATAAAATTGAAGCCTATGGAAGAATATTCCTTGAGAAAATGTTGAATATTGGGTTAAGAAAACAACTTATAACTGATACTCTTCTAATATCTGATAAGTAAACTGAATACTTAGAGAATAAATTGTTTACATTTAGTAGAACATTTCTAAATTTTCTGTTGATGGGTGATTAGGTGTCTCGCCATACATATAAGTATAGGTTTCAGCGCCACAGGTGATAACTTATAACACCGTATCTAAGTAATAACCCAACCCCTGAACGATCGATATAAATACTATATACTTACTATCTTCATCATTTCGCATCATACCAATGGTACCCCCAGTATAAATGACCAGCACTTTCGATTCGTTTTGGTCGTCATCCTCACGTGCGGTCATCGAGTCGCAGCGTGTCCGGAACGACTGTGGAGACGTCGACTCTAGGTACTGAAACGATTGCGTCGGTTGCTGGTTCGATGACTCGTTCTTGTGGATTTTAATTGAAGGAGACGTGTTCAAGGGCTTCATTTTTACCGCATTATCATTGTGACCGTTGCTAATACCGTATTTGGAGGAGAAACCGTTTCTGTTGGCATTCTCCGATACAGCGTTCTCGCCGTTTACATGCGGTAATTTTTGCGACGGTTGATTCATTATATCCACGAAATATCAGCAAACTTGTGTCAGTATTAGTAGTAATAGTGGTATTAGTAGTAATATTAATAGTAGTAGTAGTTATTGTTGTTGTAGTAATAGTAAAAGTAGTATTAGTAAAATTAGCAGATTGAGGACAATAGTGCTCGTCACTCCAACACAGCGATTCTCAAGTGCACCTAAATATGAAATTAACATTTTTAAAGTAATTTCCTACGATAAAAGCAAAATAAAAATGTAAACAATTTTTGATTCATCGTCGTATGATTTTTATTAGCTAGCTTCCAGGTGTACCAAGCTCAATCCTTACAACCCATTTAAATTCAATGAGTCATAAGTACATGTGTGCATAATTTATAATGGTATGATAGGTACCGTACAGGATAACATATTTAAAACCAATTTATAAGATATGGTAAATCCATTACTGTTTTCCCTTATCGTCTCTCATACTTCCCACATTCAGTCAATTGCATTCACACAAAAGATTAGTTTACTTTATAATAGCGGGTGTGGTCACAACTAAAATGGACAATCCATGTTTTATCAAAGACAGATATACTCATATACCCAAATATATATTGTATAACAAAGAACGTTGACATCGTGTAGTTCGAAATAAAGCAATTTAAACAAGTTCTGTGTAGTAAAACGCCCAGGTACCTCTCTGTCTTTCTATATATATATATATACATATACACATAAGTTTGCTTATCCGGTCAAACAACATGGTTTTAATAATAAAATAATTGTATGATTTTTTATTATGCGTTCATGTATTAACGTTTCTAACATTTGCAGTATAAAATAAATAGTTATAAACTATGAAAACAATAGAACGCAGTTAAATTATTATTATTATTAAATGGCAATGCCAGGCCAGACTGCACGTAGGTGTACCAGATTCGAAAGAAACTTTATACACACAAAATAAAAACCACGCATCACAATTTAATGAACCACTAAATTAACAAACGTTGATTGTAACCGCGTAATTAAATATATAAGCACGTTTAAGACTTAGCTATTGAGAAATTGGATTAAGTACGTGGCGTTTGATTTTCGTCAAGAAATGAGAAAAAGTTCAAAAATGAGATGCTGCTGTTACGAACACATAAATAAAGGCTACGTTAGTTTTCGGTCAAAACGGTCTTAATATTACTAAACAGTTGTTGAGTAAACGGTATTACGATAAGGAACGAATAAAATGAGATAAATTTGGGGGTCGAATCTTTTTTCGAATCATTATATAATATTATAATGAAACAGTGTATGCATATTATTTGCGTAGTGCCATCATGTCGTTGACAAGCTGAACTACAAACGAAAAACACAAGTTCACGGATCTATTAGCTTCCGTGCGGATCACTCTAGTACAGCTATTACGAAAAAATTTGGCACACCAGCGACTTTTTAACAACAAAAAACCGTCGGATTTAATATTATTTTTTTTTTATCTGTTTTTTTTCCTCGAACCATTCGTAGAATTTTGAGATAATCCACGCACCTATAGTGCTGCACAACGATTTTTCGGCCGTCGCTTGTGCGCCATTTTCGTGGAAAGTCCGCGGTCGGTTTCCCAGATCATTGTTTCGTCCCCCTGCCCGGAAATCGAGAAAACGCGTTGCGATACGGTTGTTTTCAGTCGGTCTGCTGCGAACCGCGATTGTTCGCCGTGAACGTTTACTTACCGTTTTGGGATTGAAATCAGTCCGAGAACACCGACGGGCGCGAGCACACACACGAACTGCACGACGACCGCGCCGCAACTGCACGCAGACGGCGGATAACAAAGTTGTTGGACGGTACGAGCTAGAGCTGATGTGTTGATGCACGCGTCCCCGTGCGAACACTGAACTGCTGTCGCGTCTCCCGCGTACGAATATAGTACTGTTATTATTATTATTATTGTTGTTGTGGTTGTTTCCGCTACGGTATTATCTTATGGCTCCGTGTTTCAAGAATTTCGATTTCAACACAAACATTAACGATCTTTAATTACACGATTCACTGTGAGCTGAAACCGTACGAGATAACGTGTTTTCAATATTATAATACATTTTGCACCAACCTTCGCTCTCAGATTTTAACGCGATTATTCTAATCAATGTTTTCAAATTATATGTTAAGAAAAAAAAAAGAAAAAATACAATAGCAGTACGACCGGGACTGGATCCAGGGCAGGCTCGGACTGGGAGGGTACCGGCCTACTATTATACGTAAACAGGCGGTCTACAATGTATTGTTTTGGAAATTTTTCAATGTGTTTGTCTCACAAAATTGATGTTTGGTAGGATTCAAAGAGGTTAGAGGGGGGCACTTCCTTATAACCTTTATGTTCAACAATCATGATTAGTTATGTGATTTGATCCATAATCCATGTCCCGTGATACTATAGAAAATAAATTTACTTTGTTCTATAAAGAATACGCTTTAAAATAATACACAAAAAGTTAGTGGAGTTTAATAAAAATACAATATTATTTGGTCACGTGGCTTGGTTATTAATTTATTTATTCTGTCATCTGTGATAACATTAATTATTATAACACATGAGTATAAATATATACAATATATATAAAATATGATATGCATTGAGCCAGTGGCGTATTTATAGGGAGGACCCAGCCCCAGCCTCTTCCCCCCGAAATGAAAAACTCCATTGTTAAAGATTATTATTTTTAACATGGATATGTCTTAATGCTGACAAATTAATGGTTAATTAATGGTTTCCGAAAATTTGTCGCGACACTGAGAATGTTGCTTATGCGATAATTTAAAATTTTATATTTATAAAATATGTTTATTCCTTTAAGAAAATATGAGGTGAATTTTGAGTGACTATAATAGAAAAATTGTTTCTTACAATCTAGTTTTTATACTTTTAAAAAATTATAATTCATTAAAAAAATTGAGTTTCTTATGTCTCTGATGGTGTAAATACGTTCAAGAAATAATTTTTATCGTAATAGTGTGCTTCTTCCTTTACTTCCTTCTAAAAATCCAATGGCGTAGCTATCATTGAGCAAAGCAGGGCAGTGCCCTGAGGCCCCTATCGTTCAGGAGCCATCAGAGCTCTTAGTAAATTTTAAAAATACATCCGTAAAATAATTGAAATAAAATTGAAAAAAAGGTTAGATATTTTTAATATGATAATTGAATATTAGAAATTTAATATGAATATTGTATACCTTGAACACACAATATACAATGATCGGTGTTCGACTACGGAGTAATCGTTATCTTATCGCACAACGGCCACCAAGACTTGTAAATATTAAAGACGATTGGGACGTACATAAGAATTGCCGCGTAAATAACAATCCTAAAAAAGCATGTTGTCAATTTTATTGTACCTATTACCATTGATTATAAATACTAGTATATATAATCAATGCTATTACCTATAATGTATTGTCGAATGAAATATTATTAAACATATTATTATATAATTATGTTCACGTAGCATAATATTCACTATTCATTCATCAGCGTAACGTTATCGTGTTCGTAGTAATATTCAGGGCCGTTCTGAGAGGGGGGCAACGGGACCATTTTGTCTCAGACCCCATTGTTGGGATATTTTCTAGGGGCCCTCATAAAGTCTTGATGTATGGTAATTAATAATAAAGCCTCGAATACACTAAATAATTTTACATACTGCGTGTCAACAATTACAGTCGCGTTCGTGCGAGCATGTAGCGACTTGTTCGATTACATTGAGCGGTTAAATTATAAATAATATGAATAATAATGTAATAATAATGGTCGAAGAGCCTCAAAATTAATTTGCCCCTGGCCCCGAAAAATTTTGGGACGGCTCTGGTAATATTTACCAGTTGCGCAGGGATATAATAACCAAATTTGGAGTGATGGAATGTGATAGGTATAACAGAAGTTTTCATGGCAATTTTACTATTTTATACTATTCTTGTAACTTCACCAGGAGCTGAAAGATCCTTCAATAAACTAAAAATAATCAAAAATTATCTTAGAAATAGTACCGGACAAGATCGACTCAAATATTTATCATTGATTGCACTTGAAAACAAGGCAGCTTCAACATTGGATTTAAGTGAAGTAATAGATCACTTTGCTAATATTAAAGCTCGTAAAAGATTATAAACTTCATTTAATGGACTTTATTTTATTTGATTAGATAGAATTAATAAATTAATAATTATAAAATGTTTATATTTAAAATTTGTTTTAGTAATTAAATGGATTTCCTTTTTATTTTGAGTATCAATTATTTATCTGTTTATTATTTTCATTAATGGTGCTAGAGAGGTATTTATATTTTAAACAACAATATAACGTATAATGTGGTTCTTCCTTTAAATTTAATTAAGAGGCTTAATTTATTTAGTGCCCCGGGGCCCTTTCCCATCTTATGCCATCTTATGCTCACTGCAAAATTCAGTTACATAATCGGCCCCCTCCAAAATGAAAACCTATATACGCATTGCATTAAGCGCGGTAAATACTAGATTTACTACCAAAAATCTGATTCAGACTAGATTTCAGAATAATATGATTAATATATATATAGGATTTTCTATAATCGTGCCTTGGGATCATTTAAAAAATATAATTAGATACCAAGGTGCTATAAACAGATAATCTGTTCACTATTCTGTAATCTCAGAAAAAATATTTTTCACGGCCGTGGCCTACTGTACTGTAGAACAATAGCACAGTGGGCCATCCCGCTTCTGATCAAGGGGCTATAGCACCGGGCTAAAAGTTGAAAGGGACCACAATGTGCTGTACATTTTTTTTCGTATAAAATGGCATCAAATAAATATGTTTAAAAAATAAAATGTTAATATAATTTTCAACAATATACAAATAAACTAATCTTATTTTAATTAATATTTAATTCAAAAAACTAAATCTGAAAAATAAATTAAATTATTTTTTGTAAAAGAGCCTCACTCAAAGTAATAGCCCCCCTTATATTTTGACCATAATCCGGCCCTGAGTACAACACGATCAAGATCCAATAACTCGGGCTTGTGTAATGTCGATTTTCCTCCAATTTGTTTCGTCAAAGAGACTAGAAGTTTAGACTAAATTCTATGCACCGCATAGGTACGTGCCGTAATTATGCTATATCAATAGATTATTATTTTTTTGTAAATTCACAGATGTTAGTAAAAGTCACTTAAATTAATTAACGGGCGTGTTACGTGATAACTGAAATAATGCAATTGATTACAATAGTAAAAAACTGATAATTTAAGTATTGAATTGTACCTTGCCTTGCGCATTATTAATTTTATAATTAATATAACAAAAATACATATAGATAACCCAATAACAATGATACAATAGTAGATCAATCTATATTAATAAAATGTTCACTAAATATTGAGAGTATTAATCATTATAATTGTAGTTCAAATAATAATAATAACAATCATATTATAATGGTAGTACGTTCGTATTGGTTATTATAAATATTTTAATACCTGTAGTGCTTATTTATTCCTAATAAATTAAACGGTTTATTGAACAATGCATTTTTTAAACAAAGGTGAAGACTTTCATGAGTTACAATAAAACTAATTACAATATTTTAATGTATTCATTACTACACGGAAAAATCTCCATTTACATAAATGTATTAAATTATAACATTAATTTGTAAGAAGGCATGATATAAATATAATGTATAATATATTTCTATAAGAAAATATTGCTTGTTGAATATATTTACAATATTTGAAATATAATGGGTACACTGCAGTATACATCTATACATATTTGTATTTAATTCATAAATGCTAATAAATTCATAATAATTTTAAATTGTACATTTATACGACGATAAAAACTAAAGCCTAGTTTCCGATTTAAAATAAATAAAATTAATACTAATAAACTAATAAATTAATGCCAGAAGGTTAGGAGGTAAAAAGAAGTATAATATGCTAGTGAGTACATTAGCACGCAGTTGAATTAACGATTTATCAATATTTAATATGAGTATAAGGTGTATATTAGCTAGGATAAGGATTCAACAAAATCTAAGACTTTTTTTTACAAATGTTTTGAAATTTTTTAGATTTAAGCTAAAAGTGATCCCGAATGTAAATTGATGGATTATTTTCGAATAAAGTAATAATAAATTATTATGCTAAATAAAATCATAAATTACTCATTTATATACTCCACATTTTAATTAATTATCAATCCATAGAAATCACTGATGAAAGATTTTGAACATATTTTTTGCGAGTTCTTTCTAAATAAGTTGAGTGCTATTAATTGAGTTAGAAAATAATTTAAAATATAATATTTATCATATTACTATCATTAATTAATTTTCATATTTATTCAACTATCTGAGAGAATTTTCAACAAGTACATAACGTCGTATAACAGTGTAATAATAAATATATTAAAATGTATTGCAGTTATTGTTTAAAATTATATTGTACCTAATAATCTATAAAAGGTTCATAAACAATAACATATGAATTATATTAATACAATATTGACCCTTGAACAATCAGATACATCAATATTGTTAATCTCATTGCATTACGAACTCATAAAAATACTATTAAAATCACTTAGATCAGTGGAGTATACATAAAAATATTTTCGGGAGGGGCTCTATGGACAGAGTTAAATTACCACTGCTATCTAAGAATTACTAACAAGACACAGTAGGTACTTATCTACATTTCATTTACAGGATGTTCTAAAACGATTTGACGTTGGACTCAAATTCTTAATAATCATAAAGCACCATTAAAATATAACAAATGTTTCAAATCATTTTTAAGATTTTTAAAACATTTCGGGGGCGGGGGGAGACTGTAGCCCATTAGGCACACCCCTATATACGCCACTGACTCAGATATTCAAGTCTAACATAAATTCATAAACATAATACTTTAAACATTTTAGATTAGCCCCTTTTTAGTATAATATGTACTTGTCATTGGGTTGTAGGTTAAATTTTGAATTCTAAATTTAGAAACATTGACCGATTTCATTCGACTAGTGTGATATGTTTATAGTATACAATATGTATAATGTCACAGTTCAATTTTATTTATTATACTTTTGTGTTTGAAATATTTCATAATTGATATTTAGTATGCAATATTTAAGTTCATCCCAAGTCAAGTTCTCATCTTTATATATATTGAAATTTATTTTTATACAGTTATTATAACCACGTGATATAAGTTAATGTTATCTTTCTCTGTACCTTTAAAGAAGGCCATTTAGAACTTTTAAAAAAAATTTTTTTGAAGGGGTCAAGACCCGGAAAGCCCCTCCGAAAATATGTCACTTTGTATATGTATATATAAAAGTACATTGATTTGTATATGTCTTGTATAACCATGCAATAGAATACATACCCATTTGTATAATCCATGATAAATATTTATTAGTATCACTTATGGAAATAAATTCAAATATATGTGTTTAAAAATAATACCTAAATATCTTTATTTATAATGTAAATATGTACAAAATTATTTTCGAACGTATTTCATTGTGTTTTTATATAATAATTTAGAATGGAACGTTATCAAATAAATGTTACCTATCTAAGTAATTACTATACATTTTTATTAACAACATTTTTAATTTTGTATTAATAAGTCGACCGTTGATTGATTTTCTAATCAATAATAATAATAATATTTAAATTCTTTTAATCGAGTGAACACCTCGATTGTAGAAATTATTCGATTATTCCCATTAGTAACAATAACAATAAACAACTCTATTCCGGCGACAATATTATTACCATTATCTAATTAATTGTTAAGCGGTATCTGTGATACGTAGTATGCGGGATCCGGTAAGACCCAATGCTCGAATTGGTGGGTACGTAGGGGAACGGGCTCCTTTATTTTTTTTTTTTTTTGCGTACCCCAACTATACTTTTATTTGACAGTGCCACGTTCACCTTAACTGATGTTCAAAATAATTTTTATTGTAATATGGATTTCAATTGACGTTAATTTTATAATGAATATATTACGATTTATATCAAAAGTACCTATTTTTGATTTTCATTTATTAACACGTTAAGCTCCGCTAGTATTATCAATTATCAGCAGGGACGCTCTGGGAGAAAAATTCAGACTGGGAAAATGTATTACCACGGCCACATATCAATGTTTAGCTTATAGTCCGTTACTATAGTGCTGTGGAGGAGGTAAAAGAGGACTGAGCTTTGTTTCTACCCCCCCCCCACCCCCATAATAATACCAATTTATTTTATAATTATTTATTTATCTAATCTTTTAGTTTTTATTATATGTAAGAGAACATAGAAAAAATAAACCTTCAATCAGTATCAATATTTTTTTGAAACTGTTGTCTGTTCATGTCAATTAAATTTCAAAGGTTTAGTTACGCCTATCTCTGTGACTTCATATATTCTCTTTAAACAATTGAAAAAAAATTTCAATTAGCTATTGATTTTTATAAATAAGCAATACCTACTATATGATTAAATTTTTTATAATAAATTATATTTTATAAACGCTTAATAAACAAACCAAAAAGAATATACATTAAATTAAGCTTTTATTATTAATTTTATATTTTAAATATAAATAATAAGTTAAGACATTTTAAAGATATGTTGAAAGAAGCTTACTTTTTTGTGACAATAGATCAATTATTTGATCATTATCAATGTTTATCAACATTTTTTTTATCAACTGACATTAACATAAATGCTTTAGTATTTTCTTAAGTAAGTTTACTTCTTAACTTATTTTTTTATTTATTTTAAAGCAACTTGGGTAACAGCAATATACATTAAATACTTATAAGCAACTGTTAAGAATTTGATAAGCGTTGTCGCGTCCTGCGTAGTCACACATGAACACTTACATAACAAGGGAGTTCCTGTGAACACATCTATGGATGGTTACACATATTCTAACATCTATGGATGGTTATACATATTCTAACATCTATGGATAGTTACACATAATCTATTTAAAATCACTTAGCTAATCAAAACTACATATAACTATTTAGATAGTAAAAATCACAACCGTGGACAAGTTAGATTAAAATTAAATTAAATAAGAACGACAGTAACCACATCCTGGATCTGTGCGTCACTGAATATGGGCTGGTCGAGAGATAATTCACAAATACAGAATTCACAGAAAATTATCTTATTTTATTATCAGTTTTCATATACACACACACTTGCATATATCAGATATAAAAGGGACCCGAAAACAAGGGCAAATCAGATGAATTTTGGCTATGCTGCACTGAGCACCTTCATGTCAGTGTATGTTATGGTCCGGACTTAGAAATATTTCAAAACTATTTTTATAAGTTACAATTGTTAGGACTTAAATAATTTCTATAATTCAAATTGTTTGGACTTAGAATATTTACAGAATTGTAGTTAGAACAATTTTATAAGTTTAATAAATTAAATCATTATAAAGAGTCTTAATTATTCTTCACTACACCTACATCTAAGCGTTGACTGAGACGTGAACACTGAAATCACGGATCAAACGGTTGGCACGTAACAGCGTTATTATATACATTGTATTTTATCAATAACTTGTAACAATACAGTGTTTAATTTAGATCTTGAAACTGTTGTTGTGTTAGAAGTATTTCTTTTAGACGCCCTAGTGCCATTTATTTAAACAATTACATTAGACTTTCACAGCCCAAAGGATCGATGCCTCTGGGATAAATGTTCACCCTTGAATACATCATTGCGTAGGCCAAGAGTTCTATATAATTTCATACCGAGAAAAAGTACAATCTATTTACTAGCGTGGAATTCACTAAGCTCAGTTATACACCACAATGGTCTCAAATTTAACACATTAACACCAGTTCCTTTTGTTTGACAGCAACAGGGATCCACCTACTTCTGTACACATAAATAATTATTTTTTTACTTTCATTTTTTGTTAATTATAAATCAAACATTTATTCATAACAATTAGTGTTAAATACAAACTTAAATTATATTTATACATATAAATAATGGTTCACTATTTGTGTGCAATGAAAATAAAACTTACATTCTATCATTTAGTTAATACGCAATTATTTGTTGGATCTGCACACATAAGTAGCACATTTCTCTAGTTCTTGATCCTTTTTGCTGTAGTACATGTTAAAGTTTATACGATTTGCTAATGAATGAAGGGCTTCTTGATCATCAGTCGATACTTTAATGAGTTTCTTCAAAAATTTCCCCAAATCGGTCTAAGAACATATGAAACTTCGTGTATTGGAATATTGAACATGGCGGAATAAATAAATACAACAACAATATTTACCTTATAGTTAATACTAATTTCTTGAATGATACTTTCATATCTCTCGACCTCTGACAAGAATAATTCTTTTAAATAGGTGTCGTTGTTCTCAGTTTCATTGCAAGTACCATGTATTTCAATATATTTTTCTAGATCCTTACGTCTTTTAAGTTCGTGCTCAGATTGACTATGAAATCTTTCTTGAATGCCCCGAAGTTCCAAAACTGATTCGAATAACTGACGCATTTTCTTTGATAAATCCTACAACATAATTTAATAGCAACGTTCAGAAGTTAAAATTTTCAGAATTGTAAACTAAAAGAGGTGAGACAACAAACTCACGTGTGTTTCTTCGGTTTGTACAGATCTCTTAAAAATGTTCTTCAGAAATTGGTTATGAGCTTCAATCACGGTTTCCAGCAAAGATGCTTTGTTGATGGCTTGGCGAAAATGTTCCCATTCGGTTTCTATGACATCAGATAGTACATAAAACTGAATTTGACGTATGCTGTGAACCATTTCCGCTACTAGATTATTTGTTGACTTGAGTGCACACCGGATTTCTGAAGTTGGATAATAGTATTTTTAGTTTTGTTCTGTTGAACAAAGCTATAAAGGTATAGTATTCAGTTGTTCATAATAAAAACAAGCACCTATTGATATATTAGTTTTACTAATAAAAATTAAAGTAATATTGTGTTAATTAGGTATATAGAAATTTTATAAAAATACCAAATGTTTTACAACTGTAAATTGGTGGCTATTATAGGCGCCAAATAATTGTTTTCTAACAATCGGTTAAGATCATATTGTCATGTGGTATGATAGGTACACAGATTCATTCCAATTAAGTGGAAACACATTCACAATAGTTAATTTAAATAAACAAACAAAATGTATAGGAAATTATAAAATAACTAAAGCAGACCCTTTAAATTGATACAGAATAAAATAATAAACATATTTATTATACTTTCAAATAATATAGTGTTAAGAAACTTAAACAACCAATGAGCATACAATATTTGTTTTCTATCTTACCTGAAACTATGTGGTATGAAGTTTTTATTAGTAGATTTAATTCCCTCCACATTTGTGACAACACAAAATCAATTCTTTTTAAACGCCACAAGAACACAAACATAGTCGAATATTTTCCACTACCACTGAACTCAAAAATCTATAAATAATATAAGTATTTATAATAACAGATTCAATTATTATTTTTTTTTTTTTGTTTCACTATGTAAAGTTATAAAAAGTCAACACTGTTAGTTAATATAAGTTGATTATTCAAAAATGAATAAAAAATTATACTTCACTTAAGCTATAAATATCACTAGAGTAGAGCTCTACAATTTTAGAATTTACAAAAGTATATACAATATATCTTTTTTTGCTATAAGGGTTAGCATAATATGATACTCTTACAAATAATGTAAAGTATAATTACATAGGGCTCAGATTACAATAATGTCTTGGAACCACCAATTATAATAGTTCATAAAATGATAATAATAATAAAACATAATAATGCAAAACTATTATTTATAGTTACAATTACAACAGTAAATTTATTTCAAAAACAAATATAAACATAAGAATAAATAAGAAATATATTATAAATTAAAAAAATCCATAAGAAAAAAATGAATTCCATAATTCTTATGAAATACGAGAGCAAAATAAAGGTGATTCAAGATTAATAAAATCAAAAAAAAGGAATAATATTACATTTACATTAATGATACAAAATTAAAACAATACATTTATTAGTATCTCATTATTAATATTATTAGAATTGTTTATAGTCAACTAAATAATAAACTAATAATAGCATGTAGGAATAAGGTATCTATTGTAATAATTTAAGGTAATGTAATGTAAAGTTACACTGTATAAATAGTTTAAGTAAAATCAAATTAAATAAATACAATTTTTATTGAATAATTAGTTAATGGTGATAAGCTGGGTTTTTAGTATTGAAGAAGTCAGAAAGTATATTTGTTTTAGATCTTCAAACATGTAAGAGTTTGAGGCTTATTTAATTTTTATAAATATAATACAAACCGTTTCCAAAGGTCCACCAGTTGAATAATTTAATTGGAATATATCCCATCCACAATCTTCTCCAGAAGTGAGTAAAAGCTTTACATCAAGTGTTTTCAGTATAGTAGGTTCATCATATTGAGCATTACTCATTCTTACAGCAGTATCCAAAAAATTTCTAAATGTATGATGACCAAGTATACCTGAAGACTTATCTAAATGGGGTCTGTAGTAAATAGTATATATATTAGAATACATACATTACTTTATAATTTAGTTAATTTAGTAACTTACTGTAGAATTTCTAACAAGCTTGTGACAAAATCACCTTGTCCTAAAAGCATATACCGCCTAAGCCCTTCGAAATGTAAAAATAGCTTAAATTTATCCTTTAAAATGTCTAATACTACAGTAGATGATTCAGTACAAGCCTTGTTAATCAATTCAGAAATAATGCTTCCTTGCTCCAACATTGGGAATAAATCTTTATCTAAACCGAATACATCCCTTTATTTTTCAACATTAAAACTATTATACTTTATTAATCATCTTACCTCCTGAATTTCTGAGATCTTTTAAAATTTTCCTGGATGGTGTTAGATCAGGTTTGCTTTTGCATATAGTGTGAAGAAAGTTTATATATCTTCCGGTGCGAAATATTCTATTAACATCTTCTTTAGTAAAAAATGTTGGTATCATAGACTCTCTAAAATCAAAACCAAACAATTGAATATAATAATTGTTCACACTGATAATTAGACCGTATACCTAATAGTGTATCGATTATTCCACATATCATAATTGTTAATGTCTGGACATTGACAAATAAAAAACTCATCATAATTATCTAATAGTTCTCCATCAACCATCCAATGACACATCATCATCATTAATGGCTTAGTAGCCTAGATATATTTTAATAGGTACATTAATTGTAAATGTTATGACAATAAATATTTTATAATCACAACTTACTATTTTAATCATATTTGTGGCCATTTGTTGTAAATATGGATTTGCACAATATGCAAAAGGTGCAATTATAGATACTAATTCACCACCACGTTTTACACCATTGAGCATTTTCACTGTACAGCCTAAATCTTGTAGTTGCCCTAACCAAAGCACTGACCAACATAATAAATTTCCGAGTGAATAATTTTTTGAATTTTCGTATGCTTCATTAACCTGAATTAATAAAACAAAAATAAAAAAATACAAAACCAGCAACATAATTGAAATAATTATTTGTCAAATTACTTCTAATTAAAGGTTAGGAATAATAATAATAATAATAATGTTAATTTTTTTGTTTATAGTAGTATTTATAGAATGTGTAAAATATCTTAAGATATTAAATGGATGGCAATTTCGATTTATTGGGAATTTTTGAAGCCTTCTACCACCAGAAAAAAAAAAAAAAAACATTTAAAAAAATAATCTTTTACACAGAATCTATAATAATTTATAAATTATTCTAATAGAATAAAGGAATAACCTCTTTCTGTATTTTATTAATACTTTCATAGTATACACCAAGTTCTTCATGCAAGCAATGAGCTATTCCTGACGCTACAGAACCATTTTTATTATCACTATTAATTTCAATATACTCTTGCACTATGTTATGTAGATATCCAAGTTCCATTAAACGGTTTACTTTATTAATTTGATAGAAGTTTAACTGGAAATTATTAAAAAGTAAATATTTTATTAATAAATACAGTCAATAATGAATATAATAAACATAACTACTAATTATCTTCAAGTTCAATAAAAACATACTTTTGCTGTAACCATAAACTGTTTTTCATTTTGATTAAATACTATCCGATGGCTATCAACACCTTGGAAACAATATAAAAGGCTTCGTATTATTTCTATATCAGAAATTGTATCATCGCCTAAAAAAATAAAAAGTATTTTTTAATACTAAAATCAAAATGATCTGTTTTTTAGAATTAATAAAATATATTGAAATTATAATGGCTACATATATTTTTAAAGTATATTTTATAAAAGTTAGGAAAGTCTACTTTGCAAGTATAGTGTAGAAATATAAATAATTTGAACATCTTAATTTGTTATGAAGTATTTATACTTTGGTACCAGTTTTTTAATACTACCATTGATTATAAATAGTATTTGTTTATGAATACTATTAATAATCAATGATATTAGCTTGTATAAATCTGTATTAAATATTTATATTTTGATATTTTCAAATACTGACAAGTATGTACTTGTAAATAATTTAATTACAATAATCATAACTTTGTGCTAATAATGAATGGATGGACAAACAGACACATCATAATATAAAGTGTTCTAACTTAAAGTTTAGAAAATGTATAACTTTTTTTCCATTCAAGAATCTTAATACTAAGATGAATAATACTTCATAGTAGTGTTATACTTTCAAGTTATTTCTAATAAAAATTATACATCTAGGAACTAAGAACAGTTAATTATGTATTGGAATGTATTCAATGTAATGTAATTATAGTATATGTAAAAAATAAGAATTTAAGATAAGAAATATACAAACGTTATAAACCACAACAATGTAAATCTGAAAAAAATGTTGTCAATAAATTTAACAGTAATTAAACTTAATATGACATACATAAAATGATTTAAAAATATGTTGACTATCCATAGAAGTTTATTATATTAATCTATTATTTATCAATTTATATGTCATTATTGTCGTACATTATTCATGACTTTTATCAGAACAACATTATGTTATAAAGAGAAATACAATTATAAAATCTCAATACACAGCTAATATTTGTTGAAATAGTAGAAAAAATATGTTTTTTATGTGTGATAACTAAACAGTGCCCCAAAATGTGTACATTGTTGATGTCTACAATTGTATAGGTACCAATTTAAGTTTAGAGTTGGAAATATCCAATATATTATTTTGTATTTGTTTAGTGTTGAAGATTTGTTTTCTGGTCAAACGAAAAGAGAGTTTCATTTGTTAAAATGCTAAATAAATATACATTTTAAATGGTTAGGCTAATCGAGAATAACAAATACACATATTTTAGTAATCGTCTAATGAAATCAGATAATGGTCTGTAAGAGTTACACTACTGATGTATGAACAACTTGCTGACTTTCCACTGTCACTTTGGACAAGACGTTTATTTTATCGATGGTAAGAAAAATAAAAAAAATCACAACATTTTGAGGATTTACCTTCAAGTTTATTTGTATTAGTCTTGGTGATAATGGTCTTTGGAGTTGACATTTTCTGAAACGACGACTTCCTATTTGCCCGCAGTCAGTCAAAAGTGTACTTTTATAAGCTTGCCTACTTAATAATTACAGGCATCCGGGTAACTTATTTATTTATTAAATTCACTAATAAAATAAAAATTAATTATGATTTAAAAACTGTTATCAATGGTATTGAACGTTACATTATCAATGTTGTAAGCGGCAGACAAAAAACTCGCGCCATTCGACTGTTATTATTGATAAGCGAAACACCAATAACAAGACGTAAAAAACGATGCTAAGTTTGATGTTCGTTCCGCACCTCATTTAATAGTGCGTTGGACGCTCCTGTTGTCTGTGTCGCTCGTCTGTTTTACGATTTATTTGAATATTACATTTTCAACATGGACAAGGATACGGCTAATTTAAAAAAATGGCTCATAACCATGGGCATGGACGTCAATGACTGTACTGATGAAGTCGTGAAAAAGTAAGATCAATTTTTATTCTAACAACATGTTACTAAAACGTGTTTTTCAACGAACTTAAATTGTCACGTTTAATTATTACAGATTAATACCGCCTCAACGACGAGACATGTGGAGAAACATTATTAAACATGTCAAGCCAGCAGAAGAAGTGAATCTAATAAAAAAATCTTTATTGTTACATAAACTCATAAAACGAAAGAAGCCATTAATGGTAAGATTACATTGAAAAACTTAACTATAGTAAATTTTAAATTAATCTACTTTCACGTACCATTTGAAAAATGAACCAATCGATATTATATTAAACTGCAAATATTGTTGAAACTTGTACAAATTTGTACATTTTTGGTTATTGTATAACAGTACTTATCTATATCAATTTTTTATTTATTTTTCATAATTTTTGGCTTGATTTTTAATTTAAAATTGTATTGAATTAATTTTAAAGGCAAAAGTTGAAGATGAAGATGATCTTCTTAATGCATTAGTATACGAAGATTTATTAACACATTACATGAAGATTGAAAAAGAAATTGTTGATATCAAAACAAAAAACTATGAAGTGCAAAAAAATATAAAGACCATAAGTGCAAATACAAACAAAGTAGCTCTTATAAATACATTTAACTTCATTAATTCATACTTAGCTGAGCAAAAGACTGGATATTATGCTAAGTTTTACCGTCTAGTACGAGAACTAACCGAACTTAGCGAACATTTTGCTGCCGAAGCAAATAATAATTTGATCAAAACTGACTATGAAGTAATTTTATCAAAGATATTTTTATAAAATTATAGATAATATTTTACTAGTAAATTTTAAATTATCAATATATAAATCTAAATTTTAGGATTCTTTAATAAAATGTTGTGCTGTAGTAGACAATGCTAAACAAGTGGGTAAAATGAATGATAGTGTTTATCTTGGGAAAGATTTATGCAATAAGTTTTATGAAACATTAAGAGAGAAGTCTCCAGCTATTTTGATTGAAACTATTGAAGAAAATCTAAAAATCCATATAAGTGAAAGTTATAAGATTCTTAATAGCGTATGTATAGAAAAGGATGAACAATGCAACAAGTAAATATGAAGAATTTTATATTAGTCATGTATATTTTTTTAAACAATGTTTATTTTAATTTTTTTTAGCATTGATAGGGAAGTTTTATTCGAACAATTTTTCAAGGAACTTTTGCAAAAACAATTAGATTTTAAAACAATACTATCTAAAACAGAATCTGAAAAGTATCGTTTAGAAAATCAATTAGTTGATAATTCACAATTGATTAAAAATGATATTATTAGTCAATTTAAAGTAAATTAATAATTTATTATGATATTTAAATACTTAAATTTATATTAATTGCATAACATATTTGAAAAAAGTATTAAATTTTTGATACATTTAACAAAAAAACTTTGTATTATAATTAATATTTGATATTTACTAAAATTTTATGTTTTTATAGCTTCAAAATGTATCACATACTGAAGAACAACTAAGTGCATTGAAAGTAAACATTTCAGAGGCTTTTGAAAATGTAATTAAAAACTGTTTGGATTGTTCCAATGTAATTGGATTGCCAGAAAAACCTAATATTGAAGATGACACATTTAAAACATTAGACAGTATTTTTGATGAAACAACCAAGTTGAATGACAAAATTGTTAGTTAACTTGTTAACTTAAAGCAATGTTTTTTCTAATTTATTTAATCTTTTAGGAACAAAAAAGACTAAAAGCATGTGCAGTTTTAACGGAATTGCATAAAATAAGTTATGACTTTGGATTACCTGAAATAAGTACTGAAATAGAAAAAATAGTAGAAGACTATTCCAAAAAAGTCCTAAACATGGATGAAGTTAATAAATTGATGATCTCTATGAAACATATTGCTAGAACTGATAAGAATAATGTGCAAAACTCAACTTTTGGAAAAGCTATCAAGTAATTTAAATCAAAACTGATGGTTTATTTATTATTTAAAATAATTAAATTCCATTCTAGGCAAGGGGCTCACAAATATCGAACATTGGAAGAAATAGCTTATCATATTGAATCACTTGATGTTTTTGCTGTATTAAGAAAACAATTTGAAGAGTTGGATAAAACTATATGTAAGAATTATATAATTAATTGCATATTTATTGAATAATAATTTTCGCTGTTTTTAATTTTAGTTGATAAAAATAACTTTACTGAAATTAAAAAAAAAGAAAGAACTCAAATAGCTGAATTTAAGGCTTTCATGTCCCAGATGAAAAATCAACTGTCAGAATTAAATATTTCTGTTGAAGATTGTAAGCTTGTAGCTGATATTGAGTGAGTATTAAACCAATACTATAATACTATTATATATGTTGTATAAATTTGTAGTAGAAAAAACGTTCAGCTAATTTACATTTATAATAAATAGTGATTTAATGAATCATAAGTTATTATATTATTTAAGTATAAAATATTTTTTTTTATTTAAGACAAATACTTCAATTTTAATCATTCTCTTTTATTTTATAGGTCGAACAAAAAATCTGAAAAATAATATGCCAAGTTTCTAAAAAGTTAAATTTTATCATTTAAGGGTGTATTCACTACAATACTATATAGTTTTAATTATCTAAAATAATCTTTCAAAAATTATGATTACTAGTATTTTTATTTTTTATTAACTTAATTATATTTTAATTTAATTTTAGTATTAATGTAATTTTTTTTCTTCAGGTTCAATAATTTGTAATATATTTTGTATACAACTTTATTATTGATTCTCTATATATATATATATATATATATATATATATATATATATATGACTATTCCCTATAAATTATTCTTTATTATTATTCTTTATTTATAATAGAATAAAAATAACATCTATTGTGGTAACACTAATATTTAAATATTTTTCTATTGATAACATCTCAAAATCATACACAATCTAATTTGATATTTTTAATAAAATATAAATTATCACAATATGTTGGCTTTACATTTAATTAAATTGTATTCTATTTGAATGCTGTGCCTATAATTTATTATTTTTTTTTCTTGAAAAGATTATGGAGCTTAATAATTATCTCATGTATTCTTATCTATACAATTCTAAAACCAATTTTAGTTTAAGACATTCAAAAATTAGGTATTTACTATTAATATTACATACTAAATTAATCAAGATAAAAAGAAAGTACATTTTCAATTACGTGTAATTAAATAAGGAACGGTAATTTTAATACTAATAACTAAAGAGCGGATTTTTCGGTTCTTAAAAGCTTAAAATATGATACTAATCTACTCTAAAAAAACCCTAAAATATTCTTTAAATATTCATTAAACTTGTATAAATGTGATTATATGATTTTTTTTTTCATAAATAGTTCAATAAAAACATTAAATTACTGTTATGAGCCATTCCTTTGGTAACAGGTAAATTATTTAAATATAAAAATTTAAAACAGTTCATACATATGAGTATAGATATAATAAAATTATATATAAAAAACAAAATAGTTAAATAAAAACAATGAACAACCTGTATGCACCATTCCTTGGTAAAAGATAAATTATTTAAATGGAAAAAATGGATAACAGGATATATTGGATTATAAATATAACAATCAAATTTTTATTTCCTAAAAAAATCACAACTCGATAAATTAATAAAATATGCTTTTTTATGAACAATAATTGAATATATTCAAAAATATGAAAAATAAGCTAAATATTCTCTAATGTCCAAAATATACTACAATATGCTGCTAATCACCAATACACCGGCGCGATAGTAGAACTAGTTTTCTAATAATAGATATCACAGAATTGCTTATTTTATAATATATTAAAAATATAATAAAATAGTAACTTCTTTATATTTTAGCTATACCATTGATTAAATATACTATAAGTATAAGTATATACTTCCACACGCGCATGCACAAGTCAAACTACACTTTAGCGAGGAATATGATTTGGTCCTATTTTTTTTCGAAAAGAATCAATTTTTGCCAATTATACTGGTTTCCCTGGTCATCGGATAGAACTTCTAAAAACATATTTGAATTAGTCATGAAGTTCACTTGAAATCGACTTTTTTACATTTTCAAACTATTTTATCAATTTCATATTATTTACATTATAAATTTATTATTATTTAAGATTTTAAAATCAGTTTTTTAAGGGTATATAAATAAATATTTCATAAAAGTAAAAAAGTCGTTTTCAAGTCAACTTCATGACGAATTTAAATGTTTTTATGAGTCTTATCCGATCGTTAGGAAGGTCAGTACAATTGACAGAATATAGGTATATTTTGATAGAAAACTTATCCCGGATCGAATCCCCTTAAATTATAATCTAACGTATGTATAACGTGTTATGTAAATATTATGGAATGCAATCTGATAGCTAAGCTACTTGGTTAAATTAATTTTGAAAGTATTATAGTTTTGATTATAAATTTCTCTGGAGAGATTATTGCATATAGTCGGTTCAACATAGAGGAAGATTGGGTTTTTGTGCATTTTTGGAACACCTACTAGTATTATTCAACTTAAATCTAAAGTTAAAATATTGGGTTATTGATTTAATATAATTACTTTTTATTATGATTATGATAGCTGTTTTATGGAAATTTTCTGTAACGATTGTTACATATTATTAATGTCTACTCATGTAATATGGATATTGCTGAGTAGACATCACGTTAATTTACATGTTCACGATATTACATTAAGTCGCGGCAGTTCTGCCACAACGTTCTTCCGATGTAGCTGAACTCCATATTGTCTTGATGTAGTCCATAGTCCGTAAGTCATATTTATATATGTATATTAAATAATAATAACTAAACTAAATCAATCTACATTTATTTGTAATATTAAGATCTTTCTTTTTATGCTCCCGAGCTACGGTATAATATATTCACAAGGACTAGAAAACCTTCCCTGAATATCATAAATTTAACTGGTCATCCCCGACCACGTTACAGTTCATTAATTGATGGTACATTAAGGGCTTTATAAATGTTATCAACATGATAGTAGTAGTTATTGTTTAATATTATTTTCAAAATATTATTTTGAGTGGTTTCTGGTTGTCTCAAGTTAGATTTATTAGCTTCACCTTATGCTATTATACCATAAATAAGACTATTAAGGCTTTGTAAACCATTTTGATTTTGCCATTATTTAATATGAGTATTAACTGTTTGAATGCATATGAAAGTTTTATTATTATTAATAAGATCAGTCCATTTTAGATTGCTGCTTATAAGTATTTTACAATAAGACTGAATTTTAATTTGATGTTACAAGAGCATGCATTTGAGAATATACAGAAGGTAGAATGTAATATTATGTGAGTTACATTTTAAGAAATTGTTATTAGATAAGTAATTAGATAATATAAGTACAATTTTTTTCTATATTTTAAATATAAATTTTTTTTAATTACTATAATTGATTTAATATCCATTTGTATTTTCTAGAACATGTTGTCTTAAGTGTCTAGTAAGACTTAGTGTAATATCGTCAGCGTATCAAACCAGTTTACCATTTAGCACTATATAGTTTATATCATTTATTTGTACATTAAAAAGCAGAAGAGATAATGAGGTACTTTGAGGTGTGTTCTCTTTCATTTAGTAAACTTAACTTTAAATATTTACAAATTGGATTTCTTATGTAAGATAAGATTTAATAAATTGTAAAGCTGTATTTTTATTCCATTTTTTCCCAATTGAGATGGTAATATCTCATGGTTCACTGTATCAAATGCTTAGGCTAGTTTAAGGTATAGGATGCACACTTTTTACTGTTATATAATACATTATAAATGGTTTCAACTACTTTTTCAATTGCTTGGTTCGTGCTTTTTTTTTTGGTCTAAATCCATATTATGTTGGAGATAAGTAATTCATTTGAGATAATTGAAGGATAGTTTTTATTATTTTTTCAATAATTTTAGCTGTATTGAATTACCACCTTTTTTTGTAAATAAGTTTAATTCTGACGATTTTAAATGCATCTGGAATAATTGATTATGTAATTGATGAAATAAAAATGTATAATAGAAATTTGAATCATTAAATATATTTGATGTGTTACTAGTTGAGATATTTTTTTTTTGGATAATTTTGTATTTCCATAAGTATACATTTTTTAATTTTGTTAAACATATCAAGAGCTTATATTGGTTAAGTATTTATTTAAGACATTCACTATTTTAAAAGCATTATTACTTATATTTAGAGTTAAACTTAATTGATTATTACCATTTAAAATGTATTGTAAATCCTATTTGGTACAATTTGAGGTGTAATTTATTATTTCCCAACACCTTTTATTACTATTTTTTGATTTCTGTACCTGGATGTTAGTATAATGTTTTAATTTTTCTTATAGTTTTCATTATTTTATTTTTAAATGCATTATAAAACTTATTAAGTTTTATATTTTTGGAATGTTTTTTTACTTGAATGTGTAAGTGATCTTTGTGTCTCATTAAAAGCACAATAGATGTAGTAGCCCATAATGATAAATAAAAGTTGATAAATAGATTTTAATATACAGATATATAAAGTGATCTTAATCTAAGAAGGCCAAATATTACTCTGATGGCACATTTATTTATTATGTAAATAGCGTAACCCTCAAGAAAAGTTCAATGATAGAAAAAATACAGAAAAGGAAATAATTATTGATAATTACTAATAGTAACTAATGAAAGGAAAAAAAGAAACAATTATGTTATAATGTAGAATTTTTATAATGTGTAAATCATAAATAATAGCTAGGGAAAAAGTTTAACAGCAAATTAAAATCACTAAATAAACAAATCAAAATTATTAAACCGATTACATAATCAAGATATGCAGTCAATAGGATTATTAAAATCATAAGAGGTATGGTGGATTGGGTTAATAAATGTAGGAACAGAATAAGAATTGAATGTGAACATTTGAAAGTTAAGTAATTAAGTATTGTAATTTCATACTTAAATTACAATTGACAATGTACTAATATACTTTTGATTATACATTTTTTTTTTTTTTTTTAATTTTACTGTTTAAAATAATTATATTCTGTCTAAAATGACAATTGAAAAGACTAAAAATGATGAACAAATTTGTAAAATTTAATATCCAATAAATGACAGTAATTTCGATAACATTGTAAGTGCAACTTATTCGTTCCGAATAATCTTAAACAAAACTCTCGTTGATCCGGGAGTAGAGCCTACACGGTCTCCGCCGCGTTTGTCCGTTTAAGATGACGTTTTGCACATCCGTCCGGAACGCTTGGCCTACAGGGTGCGAACAAGCAATCGCTCGAGCGATACATCACTCGGAACGTACGTGCGCCGAGTTCGAGCGATGAACAACCGAGGATGTTCAACCGTAACGGTGCTAATAGTGGGCCAGCGGCACGCCCCGCGCTATGTTACTATCACGGTGATAGAGCGCACGCACAGCGACTTGGGTGCGTCGTCAACGTGATCGCCGGAGGTGGACGGAAGGAAGAAAAAAAAAAGCCTCCACAACAATTCGGTTGGCGGTCACCGCATCGTCCAGTGTTGTATCATCTACCGGTGTGTATATGCGGCGATGCATAATGTACGCGTTACGTGCCGAGAACGCGATGAGATATTGATAAGACGGTGGCTGATAATTATTATATGCGCATCTATTATCAATATTATCATTAAATTATTCCAATCATTTAAATTTGAATTTTTTCGCGGATAATTTGTAACGTCCGCGAACCCGGTCGGCGGCGCCCGGTGAGTACACGGTTCCCGCACGGCCGTCCGTTGCGGTCGGCCTGGCTGTGGTTCCCGTGCGTGCGGCTCTGATCAGCAAGTCACTTTTGTTCGCCTTACAGATGGTCAACGGTTGCGAGATGAACGGCGGCGCTGCCACGGCCGTGGTGGTCGCCGCGGTCGAACCGTCCACATCGGCCAGGTCCAAGCGTCGGGTGCGCGGCAACACCAGCCGTACGGTTACACTGCAGATGCTACTCGACACCAGAATACTCGAGCCCGGTGACTCGGTGTTGTCCCTCGAGTACATGGTAAACGAGAGACACTAGGTCGCTTCGCAGCAGCAGTCTCCGTGATTCGCCGTTCAAAATTCAGTGATGGGCTGCTTGTGTTTGCATGGCTGTATCGCATGCCGTAGTATTGTAATTTTTTTCCTTTATACACAGTTTGAGCACATGTATTCATTATGGTAGTTGTACTTGTTATGAGAGATTGTTTTGGTTCTGTGCATTTTTTTTTGTTAATGTTTATTGTGCTCACCTACTGAATTCATGTTTGATTTTTTTTTTTTTTTTAATCAGAGCCTCTTTGAAGACAGTTTTGTAATTTTATTTTAACCACATTTAGGATCGTTCCACCAAAAACATATCTAACATAACCTTTCTTTTCTATTTTAATATCATTCTATTATCCCCTATTTCTGTGTTTTTTTTTTATTATTCTTTTTTTATGAGCTTTGATTGAACCACTGTTAAATGAATTGTTTATGGTTTTTTTTTTTTCAAACAAAATGTATTTTGAGTAATGGATGTAACATTAATAGTAATATCCTATTAAGTTTTTTCTTATTTTTTTTTTTTTTCATTACTATTATATTTTGTATACTCACAATGTTTTCAAAGATAGCTTATTTCTTATTTTCCTTTAGGGTCAACGATTTGAAGGAGATTTATTACCAGATGGTAAAATTCGATCAGTTGAAACATTAAATGAATATGCATCTCCTAGTGCATGGGCCTACAACTGTAAAAGCATAATTAATAAAATAAAAAAAGCTGGTTGCGGATGGTCATCTGTGAGTATAGTTCTTCATTCATTATTTTTCTTAATTAATATTTCATTAATAACTTGTGATTGCCAAAATGTAATAAAAATTATTATTTATATATTATTAATGTTATTATATTTAGAAAATATCTTGATTGATGTTTAAATGTTTAAAATTTTACACAGTTATTTAAACAAATTAAGTATATTTGGAGAACTTTAAAACATATCTTGTTCACTAAAGAAAAATGTTGAGTTAAACCGAAGTAAGAATTATCTTTTAGGATTCTATTGAATAAAGTAATTAAAATACTGAATGTAATTAAATGATTTATCATCAATTTATATTTAGTAAAACCTGTATAATATGGAAATGGTTAGGACCAAATATTTTTTCCATTTTAGACAGGTTTCTATTGTAATACTGGTCGACAAAAAAAAATATTTTTACTACATTTATATTAAATCTATACATACTTTATTATTTATTAAATTTAACTAACTTTTTATTAAATATATGTAGATAGTTAAAAATGATATATTTAAAAATTAATAATATTTTTCACTAGATTCAATTAATTTTAATTTTTCATTTAAAGTTAAACATTTATTGATTTTTAACAAACTGAGTTATGAAATAAAAAATAAAAATAATAAAAAAAATGTAAATACAAAAACTTTACACAGTCCATATTATAAGTACAAAACACTAATACAAGTTACATGATCGAAAAAATAAATGTAGTGCAACAAAATAATTCTTATCAATATAGATTATATTCATTAGCTGATAATTTTCAAATAGATATTTCCATGATAAACAGGTACATGATAAAAATATTTTTTCCATTTCCAATTTAGACAAGTTCCATCTTACTCAGGATATGATGTATTTAAAAATGTATGAGTCGCTAGGATCGAACAATTTTTCAATAAAAGATAAAAGATCCATAAAAAACTCCATATTATTCCGTTTTCATGTAGTATTGACATATTGACAGGTTTTACTGTAATACAGGGTGGGGCATTGAAACGGTCGGTTTCCAAAGATAAATTTTCTCAGTAGCAATTAAAGTAAAAATTCTCTCTAAATATTATTAGTTACAAGACAACATGCCATTTAGTAAACATGGAATAGTGGAGTGTTGAACAAAGTGCTTATGCGATAAAATTGTTTTATAAAAATAATGACAGTTACGTAACTGCACAGCGTTCATTTATTCGTCTCCATTTTAATCTTAAACGCCATGATTCAGTACCATCGGCAAGGCTATTCAAATATGGGTTGCCAACTTTTAAGAATCGGGTTCAACATTAAAAAAGAAGCCTGTACGAAAAAAAAGCACGTCGCTGTGTAAAATCCGACCTAGTCTTCTACTGAACAAATTTAAAAAAACATATGTTTTGTGCAGAACATTTTGGACTCCTTATGAGAGCGGTCTTAACAGCAGTGATGTTTATGAATACTTTTTTTTTTTACGGGCTTATTTTTTAATGCTAAACCCGTGTCTTCAAAGTTGGTTATTCATATTTAAATATCCTTGTCGATGGTACTGAATCATGGCTTTTAAGATTGAATTGAAAATGAGATGAACGCTGCGCAGCTACAGCAGTAACTGTCATTATTTTTGTATAATGATTTTATCGCATAAGCACGTTATTCATCAGTCCACTGTTACATGTTTACTAAATGGCATGATGTCTTACAACTAATAATATTTAGAGAGAATTATTATTTTAATAACTAATGAGAAAATTTAACTTTGAAAATCGGCCATTTTAGTGCCCCACCCTGTATGTTGTTATTAAAAATTGTATGAATATATTAATAATTATATCACAAGTAATTGCAATTTGAATAATTTAATGAAAGTTTTCGTAAGATTCTCTTATCTTCTAATTAATTTTTTAAGAACATTAAACTATATAATGATAAAATAAATTAAACTCTACAATATTAACAGCAGTTTTTTAGATTTTTGATAAAAAAACAATACCTTAAACTTTATTTTAATACATGTAAATAAATAAAAATAAAATATCTAGTTAATATAATATTTAAGAGTTATTATTTTTTTCATGCTGATAAACAGTGTCTAGTTATAGATTCTTGTATGTTTTGCAAACTAAATTGATTAAAACTTAAAATTTACTACCTAAAAAATTGAATACTTATTTTTATGCATACATATAAATGTATATGGTTTATACAAAATAACAGATTGTATGCAGTATAATATTATATTACTTGTTTTACTTAGAATGTGTAAAATATTTATATAAATCTATATATTTTAATGTATAGATTCGATATAAAGGAAAAAAACTGGATGCATATAAACATGCGTATTTTAGAAAAAGAGAATCTTCAAATGTAGAATCCATAAAGCACAATACAATACAAGGTAATTCATATTAATGATAATTATTTTAATTCTTCTTTTTGGTTAAATTAAAAATCAATAATTTTTACTAAGGTATGTTTAGTTTTTATTTTTTTTTACTACTGATGTGTAATCAAAGTAAATTTTTCCTATTAACGTATGCTTGAATACAATTTGAAAGTAATATCCGTTTATATTAAGTAGATTATTGTATATTCATTAAATTTAACATTAACTGATCATTAACTAACCTGCTCATTAATTTTATTTATCCAAGAAAAATTAATTAATTATTTCATTAATGTTATTTTGATAAATATAATATAATTAATGTTAAATAAATATGAAAAAATACTTGTTTTTAATATTATAAATTTAACACATAATTAAAATTATTAGCAAAAATTAGTCTTAATAAATTCTATTTGTAGTAGAAGATATGGAATCTAATGATATGAAATATAAAACTCAAAATGAGATATTACCATCGACATCACCAAATGATTCATCCATTGCAAAAGAACCTATAAAATTTAGTGAAATACGTTCGAGATCTAGCAATCAGTAAGTTGAATTTTAAAATATGACCTATATTATACAATTTATACAAATTGTTTATTGTGGTTATATTTGAATGTAAGTTTAATTTTATATATATTTATAAGCTTAATATTTCTTTACAGACAATTTAATTTTAGATGTTAAAAAAAATTTGAATTATGCATATATAGATATTTTATTTTTCACAGAAATCTCAATACATTAGTGGAATGTACTAATTGGTCATATATTAATAAAGTACAACCATTTTATGTGAACATATCAGCAAATGCTACATTGCTTCTAGATTTTCATTGTCATTTAACAAGTTCAGAAGTTGTTGGGTATCTTGCTGGATATTGGGATTTTCCAACTCAAAGTGTGTAGCTTATTAAAAATATATTTTAGCGTGTACAATTTTTTTTATTCAACATTTATTCATACACAGCGCTAACCATTAAAAATGCATACCCGTTCAGAAGTCGTTTACATGATACAGAACTCACTTCATTAATTGAAGAAGAAATAAGAAATACATTTACAGCAAAAAATATGGTATTAGTTGGATGGTATCATTCACATCCTGAGACTATTGCTACACCTACATTAAAAGATATTGAAGCCCAACTTGATTATGAAGTACAAATAAAAGGACCAACTGTTGAATCCTACATTCCATGTGTTGGGATTATTTGCTGTAAGAAACAATAAATTGAATAAATATTTATTTTATATTAGTAATGTATTTAACATTTTGTATTTATTTATTTAGCACCTTATGACAAAGGTAAATCAACTTTTGATTCAACAATTACATGTTATTGGGTATTACCATCATTCGAAAATGAAATTCATAACTATGGACGTCCGATGAACATGAATTTCACTACTAAACCAGAAAAATCATTATCACTAGATATAGTTATGGCATTAGTAAGTTAAAACTATAATTTAAATAATATTAACTTACATTTAAGTGGTTTGTATCAGAATAAAATATTATCTTATTATATGCTATTTATATGAAAACAACATAGTACTTAAGGATGTGAGTTTTCTAGCTAAATATTGAATTCTTTCAGTAAACATATATTACTAAAATATTAAGTATGTTTAATTTAAATAGAATTATAATTGTATTTAACATTCTTCCAGAAAAAATGTGTGGATTTTAATAAGTATGATCCAGATTTTATAAATTTTAAAAATAAATATAAAAATGATGTCACATATTTGGAAAAATTAAAGGTACACACATTATTTTGTATTACATTGAAACTGAAGAGTAAATATTTTACATTTTTTTTTTAGATATCATTGACTGACAAATTTCCAGAAGATGACACAATACACAAATCATTATGGAATTTCCTCAGTGAAATAGTTTGTACTGGTAGTTCAGGCGATTCGGCAAAAAACAATTTACAACATTTAATATCTATCATATCTTCACGTCAACTGTTACTGTCAACATCATGTTTTCAGACACACAGTTCTTTATCTGAACATTTGGAATCTCATTTGAAATCTTGTAATGCTAATAATCTTGCATCAAATGAAATGCCTACTACTAGTGATGCATCAAAAATAACCTCAGAAAGTATAGCCAGTTCTCTATTTAATGATTTAGATTTTTCTAAAGCTATGTCTTTAATAGGACTTTCTCCATCCCGGTATCAAACCAATCCTTTAAAATAGGTTTAAAGTACTTCTTAATTTAAACATTTGTTGTATCTATAGAATCACTGATATAATTATTAGTAGGATATAATATGCAATATGTACAAAACAAAATATTGAAATTAAAATAATAATTTATATCAAATAATTGTTGGACAAATAAATCTATAAAATTAATTACTATTTCATTAAGTATTGAGGTATAATTATATTGTATTGTAACATGTTAAAAATATCTGTGTTTAAATGTTGAATCCTATAATAAGTTTAATTTAGTTTTTGTGCTACTTATGTAAATTCTAATTAATTAGTATAATATTCAAATGTTTTGGTTATAACCATTAGGTAAAAAGTTATTAAAGCAATACAATTAAGCATTTTTTTTTGTATCATAACTTGGTATTTTATTCGTCATGTTGTAACCAGGATCATATTACTATTTAATTTTTTTTAAAAGTGAATTTTATTGTGTTTTCATTACATATAATAGTTTGATATTATTTATAAAAATTCATCAGTGAGTAACAGTTTGCTTATATATAATTATATATTATATATATTATACTATATGTTTTTAAATATTTTATACAAACAAAAATATTTCTGTTTTATATGTTTACTATACTAACATTAAATTTAATAATACTTCAAAGAGAGAAGTGAATTATTTTTCATAATACCTAGAATTATTTCACATTTATTTTGTATAAATGTAGAAAATTATGAAATTTAAAACATTTAGAAGATATTTCTGTTTATTTTTAAACTTCTCAATAAGTAATTAAAGTTTTTTTATTATTAAATTAATATCATTGTTTTAAATGAATTCACAAAGATAAAAGAATTGTTGGGAATATACAGTTGCTTGATTATTTTTGTTCACAAATAACTGTGCTCATTCTTCTAAAAATGTGTATGTAGCTACACATTGGCGTGTAAGTAGTATATTGTATGTAGATCAAAGATGACAAATAATATTAATTTAGCAAATGATGTATGGATATAAAATTATATTTATGGATGTAATTGATATCTTCCTGAAATTCTGCGACAAAGAAAATTTTAACTTCCATGATATCATGAATTTTTAAAAAAAATACAAGTGAAGAAAAATCATTTCAAACTAAAATAACAAAGAATGGTTAGAATGAATACTTCAAATATCAATCTCTGATAATATGACAATATATATTTATATAACATAGGTAAAATAAAATGTAATAATAAGTAAAAAGTTTAATTAAAATTCAGTAAATAAAAAGTCGCGATTAACCGCGATTTTCATTTATTCGGTCGATTCCTTTCCACTATTACCCCGGATAATTCAGATTCTATTGTAGTTAGAATTTTTAATAGTACTAGTGTTAATATAAGTATTATTTTAGTAAAATTAATTTCTACTCCTTTAAGTGAGAAATGTCTTGTTGAGCTCTAAAATTATGATTTGTTATCTCTCTACTTATCAAGCAAAGTGCTTTTAAAAAACTTAAATAGGTAAAATTATGATTAACTACAATATCAATGTCTTTTTTACGTGTAGTGCTTTACTACTATTCTATGTATGATTATTATATTTTCCGAATCTATACAACATTTGCATCATTAATTTAAAATTCATTATTTGTCAAAAAGTAAAAACATACTAACTACTTATTATAAGTTACTCTAAATAACATTAAAAACATTATAAATTTCAATTGGCATGAAATAAAGGTTATCGGATTATTATTGTTGTTTAAAACTGTCATAGAAAAAAGAAAAATTAAACGAAGGTATACCTTTAAGTGTGCTTTTATAAGACTAAGTATTTAGTAGTACCACTAACTAGATGACTTTTAACACATTAATAAATATCATATGGTTTGCTGGAATTGTTTGTAGACTTAATAATAAGAAAAAGGCTTAATTCCTAGATCAAGTGAAATACAAGAAAGAGTGATTGGTATTGGTCTATTGAAACCAATTTTAATATATATATAAAAAAAAAAACATTCTAAGTAAAAAAGATCATATAAGATTATATTTCTTGTTTTTTGAGCCTAAATAATGTGTAAAATAAATCCCATTTTGGAAGTGTCCGTGGTTAAAAAATTACGTTGAGATGGCGTCGATGATTGCTGTATAGCAAACAACTACGCCGACGTGTATAATTGATAATTTTGAAATTGGTCTATAATTTCTGACATTATTTTTGTTACCTGATTTGAGAATAGGAGATATAAATGATTTTTTCCAGTATTCAGGAAAAATCCCATTCGAGAGAGATAAATTAAATAGATAACATAGGGCTTAGCAATTATATAACGACACATTTTTAAAAATAACGGTGGAATACCGTCAGGCCCTGTACTAGCATTGTCACTTAGTGAACCAAGAAAATCTATAATTTCATTTTCAGATATAATACAATTGTTCAAGAAAAAATGTCGAGAGTGAGTATCAGGCATATCAATTAAATCGGTATCAATAAAGTTATTAGTATCATATACTGAAGAGAAATAACTGGCAAATACATTAGTAATATCATTCATGTTATCCCCAGTAATATTATCATAAAATACCGAGAGTGGGATATTATTACGATTTGACCTTAAAGTATTGATATACTTCCAAAACGATTTCAAATTTATATTAATGTTATTTTCAATTTTAAAAATATAGTTAGAATGAACATTCGTAGATAAAACTTTGCATTTTTTACGTAAATCTGAAAAAGCTATATAATCAAACTGATAATTAGAAATTCGAAATTTTTTATGAGCCTGCTTCTTTAAATTAATTAAATTTCTGAGAGATGGGTTTGACCAAGTTATGGAATGCTGGTATTGAAGGTTTAATTTTACTTTAGGAACAAAAATATCAATAGAATGGTTTAAATTATCATAACATTTCAAAATGGATTTTTCTAAATCAAGGTTTAAGATTTTATAGCTTAAATCTATATTGGACAAAAATTAAATTAAGTTATTAATATTCGTATTATTAATATTATGAATAATAGGACAAAAAGACTCAGGGACCACTATCGAGACTAAAATAGAATATATAAAGTCAAGTGGCGGATGATAAGAATCAATAAGAGGTGTAAGTGAACAATCTACTCGTGTAATATCAATATTTGTATTAGTTAATACTAAATCTAAAATGTCATTACGGAAATTACAAACATTATTAACTTGTTTTAGACCTAAATAAAATAAATAAGATTGTATAAACACAACTGCAACTGGATCATTATATGAAGAATAATCCGACCACGGAAAGCCAGACAAATTAAAATCACCGATAATTAGGACATTTAAAATAGAGTAATTATGAATAATATTTTCAACTATCTCACAGTGCTTCATATATATATATATCTTTAGATGAAGAATATATATATATATAATAATATATAGGAACATCTAAGGCATCCCTACCACATGATATTTCAACCACTGCATCTGTTGGTTATTGTAATAATGAGACTACGATGGCAACAACTGTATCTGAGCCACCTTGAAAAAGACAAAAACAACTTTTATTGTCAAATAGGTAATATTCAATTATTGTTATTAAATTGCATTAAGATTAATTGTAAGCATGTGTATTTTTGTATAAAATTTAAATTTATTTATAACTTAAAGGAGTTTATTTTTTAATTTACAGCTTTGATATTTTCAAACTGGTTTGGATATATCAACCTCTGTAAGGTTTAAGAAACAATAGTTATGTTGTTTAGTTAAATACTTCAGGCTAAGTATACAAATTGTGTATAAGTATATTACAACAAAATATGTTATATCTTAAATAGTATTATTTAAAAACAATATTAGCACTTAATGGTTAAATCAAATACAGTAAAATCTCATTAAGACGCTCTCGCTTAATACGTGGATTTTTCCCGGTCCCAGGTACTTGTACACTTTTAACATTGAAAAAAACCCGCTTAATAAGCCACCGCATAATACGCTTTAATTTCTGGCTTCTCAAACATTTTAAAATTAAAAAAAACCCGATTAATATATTCAGCGATAAGAATTTCATTAAAACGTTTATCTGTTATCGATAGAAAAATTGATATTTATTATTAACATTAAAGTTTTAAAACAAAAATACCGTAAGAAATTAGTTCAACGGTATTTACGAGAAATGGAATCTATGATCGATGAAGAAATCCCCAAAATCAATGTTTTAGATGCTATTCATTATGTTTCAATCGCGTGGGATGAGATAAAACCAGAAGTAATTAAAAACTGTTTCAACAAAGTCTACTTTGGTAACGTCTCACAAGAAGATCCCCACATTTTGAACTCAGACGAATTTTGGGACTTTGAAGAATCTTATCCAGGCTACACATCCATTGACGACCAATTGATAATGAACGAGGCCCTAGAACTTGAAGAAATTATCAATCAGGTTACAGTTAACGATGAACTAGATGAGCCTAATGAAGATAAGGAAGAATACTTTCCACCACTTCCGTCAATCGCTAGTACTGTACAATCAATATCTACATTGAGACAGGCACTCCCTGCAACTGATGGCTCTGAAAACATGCTTCTATATCTAGGTAGGATGGAAAATTTCTTATTGAATAATTATAGAAATAATGTACTAAAACAACCAACCATTACCACTTTTTTTGATACAAAAAATAATAATTAAAAAATATGTTCCTAATAATAATTTTTTTGTATGTATATTTGATGTTTTTTTTTTATTAATTTTAAATATGTACAACTTATGTTACTGTGTAATACATAACAAATCACATTATAAAAACTTTTCTTATTTATTTTATCTATTATTACATTTAAAACGCTTTTAATAGGCGGGATATCGCCTATAACGCTATCCCGCATAATGCGCGGTTTTACGATTTCCCCTTCGAGAGCGTCTTAACGAGGTTTTACTGTAGTTGATATTTTTAGTTATCAGGAGAATTGTAAATTCTACTGTTTTGAATGATAGTTACAACTTATAAAATAATACACTTGGCGTATGGATAAAGTATGACCGCCGGAAAGCATATACGAATAATTATCGATAGTATAGAGTACAGACTACAGATTATTCGAGTTATTTAGTGGTATCGATTATTCGATAGTTTTGATTATTCAATAATATTATTCGATAGTATATATGAATAATCGAATGTTAATCGATAGTACAAATTATTCATTACCACCCATCAATAGTTCTGAGTCGACGACCACCGTGTTTACCGCGCACGTCGTGCAGGAAATCATACTAAACAAATGCGTGTACCCGGTAACCAATAGACCCGGTTCAACAAGGTAACGACGGAGCGTGTGTGTATGCGTGTGTGTGTGTTGCAATATCTGACCGAGATCGAAAAAATATTTCCGTAACGGTTTATCGCGTGCACCGTTGTACGGTCGCGGTATCCGATCGTTACCGTTCCGAACCGAGACGACGAGAACGACATTGCACCTGTCCGCCGCACGGGGTTCTGCACTCGGGTGTTCGCCATGTTCTTGGATGATTCGTTTGTCGATCCGTCCGCGGACGATTCGAATATCGAAACGTTGCTGTACTCGAACATCAAGCCCAAGTTCGTGTTCGGCCTGGTCACCGGAATTTCAGGCAACTGCCTATACCTAAACGACCACGTGATCGTGTACCCGGCGGCTGGAGTGGTGGTCGTCCACGACCTGGACGCGCACAGCCAGAGGTTCGTGTATCCGAAAGATCCGCGGAGAACCATCACCGCAATGGATCTGAGTCCGATGAGGTACGTGGCCGTAATGCGCGTGTGTCCGTGGACAGGACCGGCTCGAGTAAAAATAGTGCACTGGGCAAAATCAAATTTTGTTACCTCCGAAAGAAAAAATAAAATAATAATAAAACGAGCTCTTGTTTTAACTCAGTTCCTTCCTCTATTTTTTACGTAATATCTGTTCAGTCATTGAATACGACAAAAAATTAAATGATACATGGTCAATGTAATCGAAACTAATGTTGCTGAATATTGAATTAAATTTTGTTACTGTTTTAACAATTAGAAAAGTTACAAGAACACTTGAATAGTAACACGAGTGTCTGAAAAAAGATGGTGTATTTCGTCGTGAGAATGAATAAGTTTTCTTTTTTTTCAAGCTATGTGTTGGCTGTAGCGACCGTTGCAGAGAATGATGGTGGCGGTCATGATGATGACAAGGGCAAGATTGAGGACTACGCAAAGCCAATTGTTAAGATTTACGACTTGGAGTCTCTTAGCGAAAAGCACGTGTTCGTCGAGCCGGAAGGAGAGTGGCAAAAATTTGGCCAACGACGGTTTACCAAAATCCGGTTTCAAAACGACAACGTTCACTTAGCAGCGCTCGTCGTCGGCGACGACGGCTCAGATTGCGGGTTTTACTTTTACGGCTGGAGAAACTCAAAGGTTGAGACGTACATACGGATTGACGGTTTTGTAGCCGACGTAAGCTCAATGTTAAATATAAATAGTATACGTGAAGTTTTATAATAATATGGGAAAAAAATATACAGAGAAATTCGTTGAATAGATATAATATATTCACCTTTTTCAATTTAACATGTTATTATAAATGGCCATCCGTCACGTTTACAATATATTACGCAGTTGAACTTTTTTTTAACGAAATAGGTACTTATTTTGTTTGTAATCTTTGCACATATTTGTCTACATAAGTTTGTCTCTGAAAAACAATTCAATGTTTCTTCGTTTAATAAGTAATATTATTCGATTGCAATCCCAAGAGAACTCGTGTTATTTCTGAAACTGTTGAAAGATATTCTATCAAAGTAGGGTTTTGAAACATTCTATCTGTAACCGATGCACGAATAAGATATAGTTATTTTCGAATCATTTGTTGGGTACTTTAGGTATAACTTTATCTTTTGATAAACTTGGAAAAAATTAGCATTTTTGTATAAAGTATTTCTTCTTATGGTTAAATTTATAAAAGTTACTCTGTTATAATAGCTACGAAAGACCATATATGACATGAACAAATTAAAATATATTCGTCATTAAAACGTGACTGAAAATGTGATCGTTGAGAAAGTACACCTAAAGCCATGTTGTAATTGTACCATACGATCTTGCATACATTTTAAGGTATCTGGGCAACTAGGCGAACAACTGTACCCTTGCATTATTGTAGGTGGCTATGAATCCGTTTGACTTATCATTATGCTGTTTCGCGGGAAGAGAATTTTTCCAGTTTATGACTAAAACCGAAACGGGTTGGTCGCAGTACGGTTTCCGCGAAGCCGAAGGTATTGATTTTACATGCGTGTGTTGGTTGTGCAGAGACAGGTAGGCTATAGCCTGTAATACGCATAAGCATGTATCTACGAATATATTATATATCGAGGAAAATGTTTAAATTTGATAAAAACTAAATATTAGATAAAGTCAAAGTGGCGAAAAAAGACCAATTTTTCATTTAATACACCTTAAGTTTTAGTATATTTCAGTTTTACCTAGTTTTTCTAAAATTTGAGTTGAAAATAGTTTTTAAATAAATAGTAATATTTTTTACAGTAAATTTTAATTACCAATATTTAAATATAATCATATTTTAAAAAAATTAAAACCTTTATTAAGTATTAGAACCATTGTAAATTGCATAAATTCTTATTTTTTTTATAATTACATAAATTAATTTGAACATTGTCCTGTCAATCACATCAAAAGAATCATGAAGTATCTTTTTTAATAATATTCTGCATTGATTTCTTCCAGGATTAATTCGTTTCTCTCGATACTATCACACTCGAGTCATTAAAATTAAGATGGTAATGTAATATAAATATGAGAATGGCCCTTGTTATAAGTGAAGAAAAAAAAATTAATATTTTTGATTTCTCATCCCTCATTTTGTTCGTTATTATAAGAAAAAAATTGAGTTAAATTTTATCATGATTACTAACCCTCTTCACGTACTACAAGGGGTTGAAAAATTGCAACTAGAGTTGGTTTGTCATTTTTTGAATATAATCAATAAACTATTGAACTTATCGTAAAAATGTACATAACTTAAATTTCTTAATATTTATATTTTTAATAAAAAACATGCCTATTCAATTATTCATATATTATTTGAAAAATAATAAAATATCGAATATTTCCATGTATAAATGGTAAGAAATTAAATTTTCTAAAAAAAAGGTATTAAGTATAAATAACATTGATTGATTGTTTTATTAGAAGATTCTTTGGCTTTAATCCAAAATCCATTTTTACCTATATATTATGAATTTTACAATGATATAATATAATTAACGTACAGATGTTTGGCGGGTACGACGGACGGTCGAGTGATATTGTTCAAAAACGGTTTGTTCCAATCGATGTACTATGTGGACGAGGTCCATGATATAGATGTAACAATCAAATCAAAATCCGAAAACTTGAGCATCATCATATTATCCGAATTTGAAATGAAATCCAAGAGCGTCCGGAGTTGTATAGCTTTTGAATACGGTTTGATAGTCGTGGCGGGAGAATTTAATATTTACCATTTTCAAAAAAGAGACAATGGAGAAAGGTTAGTAATAAACATATTTGTCAAAGTGTGTCAGTGATTAACATTTATATATTTAAAAGCACAACTCTAGTCCTTTTTAGAATGTAGTTCTGTAATAATATTTCATGGCTATGAGTTATAAGTATTTATTTATACTTGAAATTCAAGTACATATATCTAAATAAGTAAGCGAAGAGAAAAAAATTTAAATATTTATTAATCATATGTGTACATTTGTAAATATTAATTTTTATTTATAGTTGTTTGAATATATTATTATTTTTTTATTGAAGTTGTATCTATACATTTTTAAATTATAAGGACATCCAACCATATTACTGATGGTTACAATTATTACTAAGAGTTAAATAGAAGCCTAACCTGTTTGACATGTCACTTTACATAAAATGGTCGCACGTTCATACCGTATACACGTTTCACCGGTCAATTTTACTAATTTTTTTTTTCTCTCGCAGATATATGAGAAATAATATGTATGTAAAACACAATCATCGTCATTTGAAAACGCTGGAGATCGAGGGTGAGTCACCATTGCATTTTGTGGAGAGTGTGTGCATCAGTCCGAACAGCAAAATACTGACGTGTGTTACAAAAAATGCCCAACTGCACTCGGCTCCATTGCATTATCGGCAGAAGAACTTAGAGGACGACGATGAAGATCTTTTTGTATGATAACAGTTGGCGTAGTATTATTATTGCTGTCGGGAAACAAATATAGATCTCAAATAGGAGGGAATGGGGAGGATACGGAGCATTTTTTTTTTTTTTTAATTAGGTTAACTTAATTTTTTTCCAATATCAAGTGTGATTACTCATGTTGTCTAGCATGTACATAAAATTAAGTTTTTTTTTTTTTTGTGAAAATCACAATATATTGATAATATCACCTATCATTTTTCCCAATATAGAATTCAATCATCGAAATCCAGCCGTTTCATGAAGAATTACACCACGGTGGCGTGGGAAGCTTGTCAACAAGTCTGTGGAGACCACTTTTGATGACCGGTGGCAAAATCGATTTTACCGTTAAGTTATGGGACTACGCCAAATGCACATTGCTCTTGTCCAAGCACTACTATTATCAGGTGCTCAGCGTCTCATTACACCCGACAGCTTTGTACTCCGTGGTGGCGTTTACGGGTCATGTGGAATTTCAAATTATTCGAATCGACGATTTAGTTCCGTTGAAACATTTCCCAATCATGGACTGTAGCGTGACGGGCTTCAGCGGTTCCGGACATATGTTTGCCTTGGCCAAACCCAGCGGTGAAATCGAAATTTACAGTACCCTTAATTTAAAGAAATGTTTTTCGTGTGGAAGCCACTTAAGTCCTGTGAGTAATGCTTTTATCTGCACAGATAACCAATCAATATATTGATGAAAACGGAAGCCAAAACATTTAAAATGAAAAGAAAAAAAATTAAAAACGTGCATTTGACACTTTTCAATAGGTCTGTGTTTAACACTTTTTTTTTCCGAAAGAGAAGTTTGTCTTAGAACTCAATTTTAATTTTTACACGTACGCATGCGTATTTCGAAAATAATTAAATAATTAAAATGTTTTTAAAAAAATTGTTTAATTTGTGAATTTGCGAGGATGTTATAAGTTATTAGGTATTATAATTATAAGTTAAAAATTCTAATTTTACATTTCTAAGAATAAAGAGTTTTTCATGCAATTATCCAGTAATTTATCAATATAATGTGATTATAATGTAATCTTCAGCAGTTTATAATTTATAGCCATTTTCGTCCCCCTTAAGATGGTAAGAAACTATAGTATATAGTATCTGTCTACCACGTGCACATACGGTAGATAACTTCATCATATTCTTCATAATACACCGATTTATCCAATGACGTAATGAGAATTAAAAAAAAACAGATTACGTTTTCAGTTTGCTTGAGATTGCGAATTTACAATGTTTAAGATTTATACACTGTAATTAAAATTAAAAAATTAAGAAATATACACCCATTATTGATAAATCCTAGTCTACGAATTGAAAATATGGAAACGTCGGTTTTCAGTGTCGACATCAAGATGAAAATTAATTTTTATAACTCTTATCACATCAGACCAATTGATTAGTTGGAATATAAAGAACATTTAAATCATTTTGTGATTTACGTGTTTGATAAACGACTACGTGACAATTGATTTTAACCCAAGGAAATTTCCTCGGGATATTTTACGATTTATTAATATCTAATTATCCGTGTATTATATTCGATCGGAAAATTCGATTTTTAACAGATTGGAACATTGGTCTGGTCTCATCTTGATAAGAGTATAATCGTTTATGACAAGGCAGGTGCCCTGTATGCGTTCCACCCAGTAGACGGGCATGTACTTATGCACATTGTTCCTTATCCAGATGTAACTATCACGGATTTAGCAGTGACAGAAGAAATCAATAAAATGTATTTTATCGCGGAGGACGGAATTATAAGAAAAGTCGACGATAACAAGGTTTGACATACTCAAAATATAACATTTCGCTTTTAAATGTACAGTGATACTTATATCTAAAAAATCGGAAGGAGGAGGGAAGAATTTTACAAATTCATATTATTATGACTTCAGAGTTTGATACCACTGTTAACCACTGTTCGGTTTTATGTGGAATACTTACACATGACAAGTAAGACTGTCATTAGTCTCGAAAGTTTTTTTTTTCAATAATTAGTTTTATATACGTCGAAAATTAAAATAGTATGATTACGTTATTTTCCTTGTTGAGTTTGAATTTTATTTTTGGTATTTTTGGTGACTCACTTTCAAGGAGATTTCATTAAATTAACTACGACATTTATAATCCATGAATATAACCAGTGGTCAAAACTAACTGAAACAGTATACTTGTTACACAACTTTTTGATGTTGTACTTCCATCTCAACACCAAATGCATTGGTAAAAATAATTTGTGGGGGCTTCATATATATAGGTAATAATTATTTTTATTATTACCTATTTATTTATTATCTGGGATTTTGGCAATGGGTGAGTTTGAATCATCAAAATTCCAGTTACCTACGCTACTGCTCAGTACACTATATAAATCTAACTCCATTATGACGTAATGATAATTATTAAAAATGGAAATATACTATTTATTCGTACATTATTTAATAATACTGATTGCATTTGCATTGCATTATTAATTACAAGTACATATGCGGATCTAAAAATAAATAATTACTAATTGCTAATATCTTCATTTTTTTTCATTTAAGGTGGTTCGTGAAATAAATGTCAACCAAGGACCATTACATGCACTATCCATTTCCAAATCAAACAGAGTATTATTCTTGGCTACTAAAAATGGCGTTATTATGTCTGTCACATTATCAGTAATTAATAGGTTGTACGCTTATTTTACAGTACACAATCATAGAATTACAAAGGTATACATATTATCAATGTTTTAATGCTCTAATTAGGGGATAAATTTGATCAATAATTTTGTTTCATATAACTAGTTCAACAGTTTAAAACAATTTCCTTTTAAAATTTTGTTAAAATCTAGAAATAATATAGTTATTATTTAAAATTTGTTATTTTCAAAATTTGAAAAATACTTTGAATACTTTATGATTTATTGCATTTAATGTAATAAATCATAAAGTATTTAAATGCATGCATATTTACACATACACATACACACATATTATATATTAAATATTTTAGTAATATTTATTTTAATGCAATTTAAATTGATCATATATTAACTATTAAACCGTATTGACAAAGATGTGTTTAGCGATGGACGGTTCAGTCTTGATTTCTTGTTCAGAAGATGGGAGTATGTGCATATGGGAAGTTGAAGAGGTTGTGAACAAGAAAGATAATATCGATGATCGCTTTAAGTATTTCGATGATTTATTAGTCAAAACGTTAGAGCTTGAAAAAATAAATAGAGATAAGATTGAAATAAGAAACTCAGTGGATTTGTTAGAGGAAAAAAATAAATACAATATAAATAAATTTAAATATTCCAAAGAACAGGAATTAAACAACTTAAAAAAGATGAATGCAGATGACATTGATAAAACTAGAAGCAAACTTAATGTAATGCATTTGCGTACTAATAATTCTTTAAATAATAAATTTAATGAAATAATTTACTTTAGTTCGAAAATCAAATACAAAATGAAGTTTTATGTAAGCTTGAAAATGAAGTAACTGCATTAAAAGAAGCTAATATATTGAGTTTGGAAAACTTGGATGTTCAATATACAAGAAAACTTATGTATAAATATAACAAATATTCAGATTTAGAAAATAAAACAGCTGAATTCATATCTAAACGAAAAAAGTATTAACTTTTTCTACGTTCTCCTAAAATATAATATAGTAATTATTTTTTTTCACCGACTGAGTTAGAAGTATAGATGAATTGAAACTGAAATTTAGCAACGAATTACAGAACACGATTGCGAACTTAGGAGAACAATTTAAGGATAAGCAAGAAGAGATGTTAAAAGTACGTATTTTTACTATTTGGGAGTCGTTGTTTGTAATACAAAATAATTATAACGTTGTTTATTAGTTGAGAGATAAAGAAATTAATGAAAAAAACAACCTTCGAATGTTGGTGGGTGAAACTGAAAATGATGTAGATGAACATGTTTTGGATAAAAAAAATGCATTCATTGCTAAACTTAAGAAAATGAAAGAATTAAATCTAAAGGCTTCGTATGAATTGGCCGTAGACAAGATTAAATATAACTCGTACAAACAATTTATTTAGCTTATACTATTATTATTTCAGTATAGTTATCATACTAATTATTGTTTAGATTTTTGGAAGACAATTCAGAGTTAATGCGTTTAACTGATAATGCCGAACAAGACTTTAATGAATTACAATTGTCAATCAGCGAAATAGCTAAGAGAATAACTATTTTGAAGAGATCATTGAAAAACGAAAGTGAGAATATTTTAAAAAAAGATATCGAAATTAATGATATTTACCAAAAAGCATCAGAGTTAGAAAAAGAAATAAATGTAATAACTGAAATCAATGCTGATTTGCAAAAAGTTAGTGATTCATTGACAACGGAAATAAAAGACACAAAAAATGTGATCGACAAAGTAATTACAACTTTTTGTATAGCAAAATATTAATAAAGTATTGAAAATATGTAATATTATGCAAATTCACGTAAATATAGGTGGAAAATCAGTATAATAATATGATTAAAAAAAAAAAGTTTGTGAAATATTATTTTACTAAACTCGAAGATTATAAAAATGACGTAAAATCTAAATTAGATAAACATAAAAGCCTTATACGCAATACGAAGAAAAGTATCAATCAAATTGAAGTTGACTTACGTTTAGCTAGTCAAAATTACAATAATGATAATGATAATAAGGCAGCACTGACAGTAAGTTAAAGCTTAAACATGATACTTATTACTTAGTATAACAAATCATTTTTTTTGAAATGAACAAAATATTGTTTAGACATTTTTCAATAAATACACGGGAGATTTAACGATTCAAAACGAAGATATAGGAGCAAGAAATGAATTGCTTAGGCAAATAAAATTATTAGAGGATTCTATTTCGAGACTAAAGAAAGATGCACAATCATCTAACTATAAATCCGAATCAAATTATTTGATAATGAAAGAAAACATGAAACTTATTGATGAAATTTCTGATCTGCGAAAAGATTCCCAGAATTATTTAACCCAGTGTATTAATTTAAAACGTACACTACTAAAAATAACACATCCTAACCAAAGAACATAGAAAAATGAGTTGTTAAAATGTGAAACTTGATAATAAGTTTTAGGAATTGAAATATAAATTAAATATAATTAAAATAAAAAATTATAAAATTAATTAAATGAGCTGGAAATATTAAAAATAAAATGAAATTGTTTTGTGGTTATACAATTAAAATAATAAGTATTATAATATATAAATAATATAAATAATTTATTAATAATGACTAACTATGACAAACAATATTCATAAAAAAAAAAATGTAAGATACAAGAGTAATAATGCTTCTCTGAAATGTGTATCAACTACTGATATAATATATCATAATAATAATAATAATAATAATAATAATATTGATATATTATATCAAAATATTTTTGACCTGTTTTAATTTAAAAGTTCATCAAGCGTAAAAAACATTAAATATAAAAATAAACTGAAAGATATAATTAAATATTAATTTTAGTTATTTTTGATTAATTTATTTTATTTTTGTTGTAATTATTCATTTTATTTATATATTAAATGAATTATTTTTACCGGATGATGACTTCTGTAAATGAAAGCCGGCCTTATATTTTTACATTCCATTCACCAATAATGCTTTAGACAAGAATTTTTACTTTTATATATTATACTTAGACAAGTTCACAAATGTAGCGAGACAAATGAAATATTTAATTTATTTTTTTACAGATTATCGATTTTTGTCATAAGTAGTATAAAAAATTCCAATAGTTATTTAATATAGTTTTTAAAAAATAAAAGTAAAGTTATTGTGTGGTCTTCCAAGTAATAAGTAGATACTTATTTATTTTTGTACATTATAATACAGGCTTTATATAGAAACTTAAATTACATATTTAAATTTAAATTATTAAATTCATTAATTTATTATTTTATAATGCATTTTGAAAAAATTAACAAGCAGTCCCATAGTAAAGTTGTTTGACATCTTCGAAATACACCAACATGAAATATTCGAGTAGGATTGTTATACTAAACAAGATTATATTTTATTTTAAGTTTAAAATAAATTCAAACATAACAATTATTATCTTATTATAATTCTTTGTTGATTGTTAACAAATTTTAGTTGTGAATTTATTTATTAAAATTACCATTCATGATTTATTGCATGAAAACTGCAAAAATTGAACAGTGAATTATGCATTTTTAGCATACAGCAGAATTTTGCATTTTAACCTAAATATACAATTGGTTCAAAGTATAACATTTTAATATTAATTATCCAACGTATTGAATAAACAGTTATAATATATCATCCGGTAAACATAATATTCACGTTATTAAATTATATATTTTATTGTGAATTATTTGATATATAACATATACTCGATTGACCCTCTTAGTCCTTTTGTATAATCATCAGTTTTTCAGTTCGCTCATTAGAGTATGTGTACACAATCAAAATCTACCTGTGTTTTCAAAAAACACGAGTCTGCTGAAATTGTGGTTTCCACTATGTGTATATTGTATTACTTGAAAAAATATAGTTTTGTGCGTCAATTAATAACTATGTACATTTCATACACAGATATAATATGTATTTTATGCTATGAGATTGTTTAAATCAAATGTTATAGGTTTTTGGGAAAATAACCTTCCAGCAGTTCAAAGTAAAAGATTTCGTTTAAATTTTTTATGTTCTTTTAGTTAATATTGCTTATACCGATGTATTTGTATGTTTGTGTTTCTGTGATATGGGTAGCTCTCATATCGTGAGGACTACATTATAACAATCGATTAGACAACTACTATGATTTTTGCTAAAATAATAAATTTCACTTAGCTAAATCAAATTAACTAAACGTAAAATAATTCAGACAACAACATTAATAATTTAAATTTAGTTCTCCAGAGAAATATGAGTATTCGTCAATACAGGTCTTAGGTGGAATATAGTGCTGTCAAATGGTTATTATTATTTTTTGTTTAAATTTATATATAGAATAATTTAACTGATTCCATACATGCAAAAAAGAAGACAAGAAAGAAGAAAATAAGAGGTATCTTAGCGGAGGAAAGGACTAATATTATTATAATATTATTAAGTTACCTGTAGTTACTGAATCAGTACCTTTAAAGTATTATATTTATTATTTTTTGTTTTGGGATTACCTGTAATTATTTTGCATGAAAATTCAGAGGACTATGATTTTATGGTCACATAGAAGACAACCATGGGTGGATAGGCCCATAGGGAAAATGGATTTTCCCTGTGGGCCCTCGCCCTATATTGTGTCGTTGGCCTCCTCGATATCATTAATTTTTTCATGTAAATTTAATTATTTTATTTTTTTATAGTTAAATTATTTAAATTAAATTAGGATGAGTAAATATAACACATTTTTTATAAGCGAATTTTTTTTTCATTTTGGTGGCACCATTAAAATATTTCCCTGTAACAAAAAAACTACCTATCCACCTCTGAAGACAACTATAGTATTTATATTAGTATAAATAATGTCTTTATTTACTCGGACATGTAATATTAATTGAAAAATAATCTTATAGATGATACTACGATATAACTTATCTTGTAAACTATTTAAATTTACATCTCATTGAGTAATTTTCATTTTTCGTATGTTATCTGAATATAATCCATAGTCGTGAATGGAATGCTATTTTCTCTTCAAATTGTTTTTTTTTTTCACAATGACAATAAGCCAACAGTTACGCTGGGTCGAGGAAAGTTTTGCTCGTTATCCCGTAACAAAAGCACAGGACGTGTGGTAACAACGTTCACTGGATAGCGAACTCTGATGCTTAGGTATTGGAATGTCATACGTCAAATTGGACTAAGGCTGCTGGCAGTTACACATATATACTTGTATATATATATTTGGTATAAACGAGTTATACTTATCAATTAGCGGAAAATTAGGAAAATGAGAGTTTTCGTGTATCAATCAATAATTGTCCACACAATTTGTTTGTAATAACATATCAAATCGAAATTGTAATGTTTATGAATCTCTATAAACTAACAACGGATTGGTAATCCTATTGTTTGAATTACAGCGATGATCGAAAGAAACATGTTAATAAATTAACAATCGATAAAAAAATTATGTACATTATTACATATTATTATTCGCTTTATGGCCGCGAACCGAGTAAATAAATTCGTCTGCGATAAATTCCCGCCTCATAGTATTGAGTATTATAATTTGTTATATTACTCCAATAAAGAAATCATCGTATTTATACCAAACGAACAAAATATAAATGTATTGATGTATTGTATTTAAATTCCTTGTCTAAAATGTATTATAATCTTATAGTTAGTATTTAATTATCATTACACTTATATAAGATTTTCAAATGCGAACGAACGAAATAATGATGTGTTTTGTTAAACAAACAAGTGACTATAAAAGAAAAAATCTGAAAGCTGTGTACCGATTTCATACATTTTCTGCAAAAAAAACTCTGAAATTAGGTAAATTGAATGGGCTAAAAACACAACTATCGTTTTTATATGATATCTAAACTTACCGTTATAATTAAAAATTATTCACGTGCATATAATAGTGTTAATATTTGAATAATAATTATTTAGTAATAACATATCGTTATATGAAAATAATAATCACTATAGTTAATGATATTATCTTTGACGAAATCCATAGTTGGATATTCAAACGATTTAAGTTTTTTATTCTTTCTAAGCTTTGGCTGTTAACATTATAGTCAGTGGCTTTCGGTTCAGTATAGAAATGTACACGGGTGTGGTAACTCTTTTTTTTTTGTCTGACGATTTTCCGTATGCAATAACCAAACATTTGAATCCCTCCGAGACCCACGACATTGTTAAGCAATAAAATAAAAGGAACGATGTATATATATATATATATATATACATCAAGTATAGGGGTTTGAAAAAAATAACTATTGATTGCCAACGAGATACTATTGCCCCAAGGTGGTAACACTTTAACATACTGTATAACAACTATGCGCACTAGCTTAGTGGTGTAATAGTACAGTCCTCTCATACAAAGACAAATAATACAATTGTATATATATATATATATATATATATATATATATATATATACTTGCTGTATTGAATTTTACTAAGAAACATATATAATAGCACATCCGTTCAATTTTACTTATTATAAAATATTATCCCGACATTATCTATTTGCCACTAAAACCGAAAAAACTGCACACGTATATGTGTGCTTACTATACAAATACAATTATAATATAACCTTTTAGAATAAGGGCCATTTTTACAGTTAGTTGGTTACAAATCGATTAGTTTATTGACGATCAAATTATGGTCATAGATTATAATCAGGTGGGGTTTGGCTGTGATTAGTTAACTAACATACAATATTTTCATTAATTTTGATTACTGTTGGTAATCATTTTCGTGATATTTGTTTTAATCTTATGAAATATTATTTCAAATTTAAATTATATTCAATATTGAATTTGTTTTTTTTACATCACTATTTTATATTTTTAAATTTAAATTTACTTCGATCATTATGGAGCAATCCCCTAGGTTAACAAATCGTGTATAATGCATATGTTAGGTTATGTTGCGTTGTTATGTTATGTTGCAGTTCTGTAATATATACCTATGTTATATAAATGTAATTTGTTGCATTTATACACTAAAAATGACCAAATATACATTCGAAATATTCACAAAACATATAAAATATGAATTTTAACTACAAGAAAGTAAATCAAAATATGCAGAATAAAATTTATTTTACCTATCTCAAATTTAAAAATTAAAAATTAACTAAAATTTACTAGCTGAATTATCCATCGTTTCCGAGTTTATGTAATGTTTTGATCTGGCAAGATTAAATATTGTTAATATAATTAACTAAAATTTAAATAAGACTGTTTAAAAAATATTTCTTATATATTAATTAGTTATTAAGCTGATTATTATCATTTGTTTTATTTATTACTGCTTTTGGCAGTAGCTTTGATTGTGTTAGTATAAACATATAGATTATGAATACCCG